GGGGAAAAAAATCCTTGAAGGGAATTCCTGTGGTTGAACACATTGCCCAACGCACCTAGACATTTGGGGACATTCCTGCTGGAGTGGGCGCAACATGGGTCATAGTTTTTAGGATGCCCCCAGTCTGCCACCTCAAATCTCTCCAAACACATGCTGCTGGTGCTGGCAGGTACTGCACTCGCTCTCCCTCCCTTTACAATGACTGGGGAGATCTGGGGCTGCCACAGTTGGAGGCAGCAATGTTTCTGAATGCCAGTTGCTGGAAACCATAGAAAGGGAGGGTGCTTTTGCCCTTGAATCCTGTTTCCCACAAGGGGCATCTGGTTGGCCACTGAAGATGATAGACTGGATGGGCCATTGACCTGATCCCGCAAGGCTCTTCTTATTTTCTTAATGACAAAGACCATTTAACCCACTAGAAAAAGTTTCTGCATTGAGTTTCTCAAAACCACAGCAATTTGGAAATCCACACAGAACTCTCTTGAAAAATGTATACAGAAAAGAAAGAAACATTATAACTTACTGTTGTTGGCATCCATCTGTCTCAGGAGACAAAGGAGGAATGCATCTTTGAGAGTGAAGTCAAACTGTTGGAAGGTTATGGCCTTATGTGGCTGTAGAGGCCGATACGGGAGAGACATGTTTTGTTGCATCTGGGGCCATAACTTTTCCCTTTTCTTTTCCCTATTTGGAATAAGGGAATTTCCCTTAAAAAAGGGGAAACGTTGACAGCTATGTCTGGGGCAGATGAAGGTGTCTGGTTTCACTGTTAGAGATGCACCATGATATTTCTTCTCTCTGCACTCCTCCCAGTGGTATTTCCTTCTTTGGTCAATGCTGTGGATTCAGGACCCAACTGTCTGTCTCCAGGACTTGTGGTTGTCTACAAGGAATTCCCACATGGCAGAGTTGATGTTGCCAGCCTTTGTGTCACATTTGCAGATGATATTATGCAGCACAGAGTTACTCTGACAAGAGGCCCAATACTGAAGCCACTTCCCTATAGAGCACGCCCTTGGGGATCCTGCCATCTTCCATTCTGTGGACGTAGACCAAGCCAGTGTAGATGTCACTGAGACAGGAGTGCGAACATGCTAGGAATGTGGGCTTGGAAGGGCAAATAATTTTTTCAAACTCTGTCCAGTGTGGTGAAGTGGTTAAGAGCGGTAGACTCGTAATCTGGTGAACAGGGTTCGCGTCTCCACTCCTCCACATGCAACTGCTGGGTGACCTTGGGCCAGTCACACTTCTTTGAAGTCTCTCAGCCCCACTCACCTCACAGAGTGTTTGTTGTGGGGGAGGAAGGGAAAGGAGAATGTTAGCCTCTTTGAGACGCCTTTGGGTAGTGATAAAGCAGGATATCAAATCCAAACTCTTCTTCTTCTTCCTGCCATGTGATGCCCAAAATGTTCCTGACATAGCACATGTGGAAGGAGTTGAGGCATTGCTCCTGGCAGTTGTAAGCTGCCCATGACTCACTTCCATAAACTAGGGGGCTCAACACGCAAGTCTGGTAGACCTTATACAACAGGTGAAAGCGAAAAGATGAAATACAAAACTATAAAATAGGCACATAGAATGAATACAGTTTATTAATATTAATTATTATTAATTGTGATGCTTTTATATTCCACCTTTCCCTCCAAGGAGCTCAAAGTGACAAGTCCATTGTTCTCCCCCTTCACATTTAATCTCCACAATAACCCTAGGCTGAAAGGCAATGACTGGCCCCCATTGTCACACCCAATGAACTTTGTGTCCAAATGGGGATCCAAACCCTGTTTTGACATTCTAACCACTATGCTGCACTGTACAGTTACATATGAGAGGAAGCAACAAAATCCAAGCAAATATGATCAGCATTATCTGATTATTCCAGATTTGCCAGGCTTGTGACAAGGGTTGTCTTGAAAATGATGTTCGGCTGCATTATATGCCAAAAAGGAATGCCAAATCATATGAAAAGTGTCTGGAGGTTTTAGTCCTCACTGAAATCTCAAATTATGTGTCATTTTCCCCCACCACAGCTCTGTTCTAGAGCAAGTAGTACCAAGTGTCCAGTGTAATATTTCCCATTGTTCCAATGGCTCTTTGAGGTACCCAGATAAGACCTGTTCTTTTGACACAGGCATCATAACTAATATTCAGTTACATTAATTTTGGACAACTATAGTTCAGGAATATTTATCATTCCCATCAATATTAAATCCCCCAAATCTTGCACACGTGTACGTCCCCACCATAAATTAGAATACCCACCAAGTTTATTGCATCCCCTCTGGCAATTAAGTGATATAGAAGAGAACATTTTGGACATTTTCAAAGAAGGGTGATGCCATCTGTATAGTAAGAACACCCGCATCGATGGCTTGATCTCAGGCACCGTTGTGCCCTGCTAATCTTGGTGCTTGAGCCTGCTTCCTCAATCCCTGTAATCGTCTTCCCAAAGAAAACGTATTTATAGCCCACTCTGTTACTCAACCAGAGTCCCCATAACTAATAGTCTAATAGGATTCTGGCCTCAAAAATAAGCACACACTTTACACCCCCAATGAATGGAGGAGGGACCACAATGGGGTTATAAAAAGCCCCGGTGCAATAGTCAGAAGCCTTCCAGGATTGGTGCAAAGAGGTGTGTGGACCTCGAGAGACTCTCCTGATTTCAGGTAAGGCATCTTGGATGGACCTTCTTTTTCTTTTACTCCAGTGACCAGCAGAGCTCAGAGGAATTTAGGGGGTGCCTCTCTCTGAGTACCAAAAGCTAAACTAGATGAATATATCTGGCACCAGAAAATTATTTTTTTAAAAAGTTTGATTGTTTCATTTTATAATGTCTATAAACAGAGAGAATAAGTGTAACGATAGATGACAAATAAAAGATTAAATGGTAAAAGTTGAGAAAGATAAAGGACCCCTGGACAGTTAAGTCCAGTCAAAGGCGACCATGGGGTGCGGTGCTCATCTCGCTTTTCAGCTGGCATATAGGCACCAGAAGGTGATTGATTGATTCCTTGACTGATAGATAGATAAATAGATAAATAGATGATTAATAGCTAGACTAGCTGACCAATAGACCAATACATAGAAAGTGAGACAAATAGACAGATAGACGAACAGGTGATAGATAGACTGACAAGATAGATACATAGAATGTCTGTCAAATATGTATAGACAAACAGACATGCCTAACAGACAGTAGAGATAGATGATAGATAATGATAGATAATAGATAGATAGATAGATAGATGATAGATAGATATAGATGATAGATAGATAGATAGATAGATGATAGATAGATAGATAGATAGATAGATAGATAGATAGATGATAGATAGATAGATGATAGATAGATAGATAGATAGATAGATAGATAGATGATAGATGATAGATGATAGATAGATAGATAGATAGATAGATAGATAGATAGATAGATATAGACTGACAGATAGATGATTGATTGGCAGACCGACAGACAGCCAGACAAAGGCTTATGAAAGTTTCTTTGTGAAAAGAAAATGAAAGTTCATTTGCACCTCCAAGTCGCTGACATACTTTGCTCTATATTAAAGTTAGAAATATTTTTTTAAATCATTATTACTTTAGAGTTTTAAGGTTGATAGTATCCAAGCCCCTTGTGAGAGGGTAGGACTGCCTTCTATAAAATAATGCTCACTATACCATCAATAACCGCACTGTAAGCTATTCGTTTTTTCAGAGTTCGGAATTTCAGCGCAGACTACATTGAAATGGTCAATGGCAATGCACAGCTGCTTTGCCAGTGTTGAGGGATGTCTTTGTTGTAGCTGCATAAATGGGCCCCTCGTTGTGACACCTGCTAGTAGCTCCCAGCTTGTTAGGATTGACCTGCTTAAAGAGCTGGGCTCATCCCTGTTAATCTTGCAGAAACTCTACTGATTAAAGATATATACTTACTCTTTAATTCCCAGGTTAAAGTTGGGCACCTCAAATACAGACACAACAGTCCATGTGAAAAGGATCTCAGGGTCTTAGCAGACTACAAACTTAGCATGAGCCAACCATGTGATGTAACCGTGCTAAAGCAGTTCAAGGCTACATCAGCAGAACATTCTACACTTTGGCAGGAATAACCAAATGTGCAGCCAAATGTTAAGGGGCACCCCATAGGAAGAAATGAGTAAAGGATCTAGGGGTCTGAGTAGGCAGCAAGCTTAGCTTGAGGCAACAGTGTAGTGCAGCAGCAAAAAAAGCTAATGCCATTCTAGGCAGCATCAAGAAAAGTTGAGTGTCCAAATCAAGGGAAGTAATAGACCTGCTTTGCCTTGGTCAGACCTCAAATGAAGACCTGTGTCCAGTTTTGGGCACCACAATTTAAGAAGGATATTGGCCAGCTAGAGGGTGTGCAAAGGAGGGTGACCAAGATGATCAAGGGTCTGGAAACCAAACCTTGTGAGGAACGGTGGAGGGAATTGAGTATGTTTGGCCTGGAGAAGAGAAGACGGAGAGGAGATATGATACTCACCTTCAAATACCTGAAGGGCTTTCACATGGAAGATGGAGCAAGCTTGTTTCCTTTTGGTCCAGAGGGAAGGACCCAAACCAATGGCTTCGAAGGACAAGAAAAGTGATTCCGGCTAAAACTTAGGAAGAACTTTCTGGTGGTAAGAACTTTTCAACAGTGGAATGAACAACCTCTGAAGGTGGCAGACTCTTCTTCAATGGAGATTTTAAAGCAGAGGTTGGATGGCCATCTCTAAGGGATTATTGAGCTGTGATTCCTGCATTGCAGTGGGTTGAACTAGATGACCCTTGGGGTCCCTTCCAACTCTACATTTCTATGATTCTATAACATAGGACTTTGCGGACAGGGAAGCAGGATGCAAGTGGAGGAGGCAAATCCCATTTTTTGTCCTGTGGCACTAAAAAGGCTAAGGGCAATCCTTCCTTTGCCATACAGCTAACTTAGCCTTTCAATTTCTTCCACAGTTCTGCTTCTGCTGCTTCTGCTACACTAATTGGATATGGCTGATGGGTCAAAGTAAGTCAACTTTTGCCTGCTAGATGTGAAAAGACCAAGCTCATTTGGGCTCATTTTCACCCCATCAGACTCACCTTGGACCCAGTAGGATGGTGGAGGGGGTGCCCCAACTTGGATCTCACCTATGTTTAGCTTTTCACCCAGGAGAAGATCCCAGGCTCAGTCCCTACCGGCATTTCCAGGTGGGGCTAGGAGAGACTACCCCCCCGAAGCCCTGAATTGCTCCTGCCAGTCAATGTAGACAACACTAAGGTACATGTAGCGATGGGTCTTACTCACAGAAAGAAAGCAGCTTCTGATGTTGCTCTTTCAGTCAGGCCTTTTACACAGAGCCACAAGGACTGGAATCCTATGGCACTTTGAAGGAGAGGACTGTCGCTCAGTGGGAAAGAGAAACCCCAGGCAGGCCTAGGAAAATCCTTGGCCTGAAACTTTGGAGAGCCATTGTTGCCAGTCAGTGCAGACAATACTGAACCAGGTGGAGCAATAGTCTGAATCACTATAAGTCAGCTTCCCAGGGGCCCTTGCATGCAGAATGCCTGGAGGTTCAATCCCTGAAGGCATCTCCAGGGAGGGTTGGGATAGAGCCCTGCCTGAAACCCTGGAGAGGAGCTGCCGGTCAGTGTAGACAATAGTGAGCTAGATGGACCAATGGTGTAAGGCAGCGCCCTATGTTCTTTTTCCAAACAAAAAAACAACAACCATTAATTAATTATGCTATTCATCTTGAGCAAACATTTCTCAAGAAATCCCATGCAAACATACACACGCATACACGCTCAGAGTATGTATTTCGGCAGCCTCCAAACAAAAGCACCCTATTGTACTTGCTCACATTCTTCTGGCCACAGAACCTTAGGGTTGCAAGGACTCCAGAGGGCCGTCTAGTCCAACCTCTGTTTGCTAGGTTTCATTTAAAATCAGGCAGACAAAAATGGTGTTGCAGGGGGGTTGAGCTAGATGACCCCTTCGAACTCTATATTTCTAGGACTTCTAGAACTGTTGTTCTACCAAGGAAGTTGGTCTTCTGCTGCCTCCTTTCTGTTCATTAGCCTTAGCCTGAATATCTTGATTAGAGAAATATAAGCAGCACAGTACTTAATGGAATACTTTATTTTTTTAAAAATGGTTTGAGTTCATTGCCTTCCCTATACTTTTGTTGGCAGAGTGTACAAGAAGACCTGCCCCAATGGAAAGGTAAGACCACCGTGTAAATATGTATTATTTTATTCTTGCATTGCAGGGGGTTGGGTCTTTTCCAACCAGGGGTGTCAACTTGAATAAAATATTGTGGGGGCCCAGGTGAGCCCCACCCCACCCTGCATAATCGATCACACGACACAGTGCCCACACACCATTTGAATGGGAATGCCCATCAACTTTGCGGGAGCCTGGCCCTCTCAAATATTTTATAGTGGGGGCTGACACCCCCATGGCCCCTAGGCATTGGCTCCTATGCTTCCAACTCTCTGATTCACTGATTCTGAAATTGATGTGCCATAAACAAATATTTGAGCTTTGGAAGTCTTGGTAGGGGCCCTCTTGGTAGCATCTCCACCCTCAGAGGCTGGGGGGGGGGCCTTCTCTGTGTAGCCCCTGAGTCCCCCTCCCCCCAAGGGTACATCAGGAATCTTCATTGCACAGCTTCTGGAGGATGCTAAAGACACACTTCATTGCCGCTGGGGTGTATGTTTTTAGGACCTGCCTTATTTTGATGGCTGTAAGATGCCATAAGACTAAATTTGCTAGCAGATCAAACACTTTCCCCCCTCCTCCTGCCCATCTAGCTATCCATCTACCTGGGGAAAAGAGATTTTGTGGACCATGTGGATTCTGTGGAACCTGTCGGTGAGTGGTTTTCTTTCTATCCCCTTGAGTCATCTGGATTTTCAGCTAGAAAGATGGTGGTGGTTGATGACGTTGCCTGTCTACCTGATGACTTGCGGGGGCCATTAAGCTCCAACTTGAGTACCCATCTGTCAGGGCTTTTTAAGCTGTGATTCCTGCATTGCAGGCATGTACATGGCCCTTGGTTCCCTTCCCAATCTACAATTCTATTGCCTGTAGATCATAGAATTCTTGCCTTGTACAAGGTTGGGCTAAGGGACATGGGGGGCGCTGTGGGTTAAACCACAGAGCCTAGGACTTGTCGATCAGAAGGTTGGCAGTTCGAATCCCCGCGACGGGGTGAGCTCCCATTGCTTGGTCCCTGCTCCTGCCAACCTAGCAGTTCAAAAGCACGTCAAAGTGCAAGTAGATAAATAGGTACCACTCCGGCGGGAAGGTAAACAGTGTTTCCGTGCGCTGCTCTGGTTCGCCAGAAGCAGCTCCCTCGGCCAATAAAGCGAGATGAGTGCCACAACCCTAAAGTCAGCCACGACTGGACCTAATGGTCAGGGGTCTCTTTACCTTTACCTTTACAAGGTTGGGCTAGACAACCCCTGGGGTCCCTTCCAACTCTACAATTCTATGATTCTATGAGTCTACAATCTACCTCTCCCTCCTTGTTGATCCGATTCTCTTTTACATGTATTTGCAGATGGGATTGTCCTGGTTGACCCAGAGTACCTGAAAGACCGGAAAGGTAATTTTCTCATTGTCTTGTTTTTCCAGTTTTACTGTATTTGCTTGTGATGGAGACAAAAATTTTGTAACAATTTTCACTGCAAACACATGAATATTTGGGAGAGACTTTATCCCAGAAATCGCTGGCTTAGTTCAAGGCAACTCTGCTCAGCCATGAAACCACCTCTTCCTCCCTCCCACGCTTATTGCCTCTGGTGCTATTTAGAAGCTTAAAGTGGGCAAAATGATACAAATATCAGGCTTGTTGTCTGCTGCTCCAGTAGGGAGGACCCAAATCAATAGCTTCAAGTGCCAGGAAAGGAGATTCCAACTAAACATCAGGAAAAGCTTTCTGACAGTAAGAGCCATTTGACAGTGGAACAGACTCCCCTGTATGGTGGTGGACTCTCCCTTCATTTGAGGTTTTAAACTGAGGTTGGATGCCCATTGGACGCCAGGGATTCTTGTAGCTCTGATTCCTGCATTGCATGAGGTTGGACTAGATGACTCTCGGGGTTCCTTCCAACTCTACAATTCTGTGGTTCTTCCTTTGTTAGATTGTATGGTTAATCTTCAAACGAAAACACACACACACACATAGCACATTAGACCTGCTCCTGTACGAATCCTGTTCTAGATTTAATTTACAATCTGAATTCAGAAACGTTCTCCAAACTAACCATCATCTCTCTTCCCCCTGCCACTGCTGTCCTTTCTCAACTCCCATCTCCCCATGTCCTCCTCCTCTTTTCCTCTCCCCATCCTGCTGCCCCCTCCTCCACAGTGTACGTGACACTGACCTGTGCATTCCGCTATGGCCGCGACGACCTGGATGTTATTGGGCTCACCTTCCGGAAGGACATCTATGTCCTTACTGCCCAGATGTACCCCCCTGTGCCTGACCAGGCCCCCAAGACGCTTACTCCTTTGCAGGAAAAGCTGATGAAAAAGCTGGGGGAACATGCTTACCCCTTCACCTTTGAGGTACACCTTTGACGCATCTTCCTCTTCCCTGTGCAAGACCCCCATCTTTTCCCCCTCAATGGAATCATTGTTTTTATATCCTAAAAACATGATTATATGTATACATAAATACATAAGAAGAGCACTGCTGGATCAGGCCATAAGAGGCCCACCTGGTCTATCACCCTGTTCTTACATTGGCCTCTTTTGGGAAATCAGCACTGCCTCTTAGGCTAACAAACCTCACCTCACAGGGTTGTTGTGAGAAAGGCGGAGAGCCATATATGCCAACATGGGTTGCTTGGGAGGAAAGGTGAATGTGGGAAGAGCCCTGCTGGGTCAGGCCAGGGGCCCAGCTAGACTCCAGCCTCCTCTTCTCACAGTGGCCAACCAGGTGCCCCAAAGGCAATACCTCAAGCAGGATTTGAGCACAAGAGCCCTCTCCCCTCCTAGGGTTTCCAGCAACTGGCATTCAGAAGCATTGCTGCCTCCAACTGTGGTGGCAGAGCATGGCCATCGTGGCTAATTGCCATCAATAGCGCTTCATGAATTTGTCCAATCCAGGTTGGTGGCCATTGCTGTCACCTGCAGGAGGAAATTCCTTCCTTTAATCTGTCCTGAACTTCCAACATTCAGCTTCATTGGATGCTTATGACGTCTAGCATTATGAGAGAGGGAGAAGAACTTTTCTCCATCCACTTTCTCCATGTCATGTACCAGTTTATAAACTTCAATTATGTCCCCTCTTACTTGCCTTTTCTCCAAACTGAAAGATCCCAAATGCTGCACCCTTTCCTCATAGGAGAGTCACTCCACCCTCTTGATAAGCTGAGTTACCCTCTTTTGCACTTTTTTCAACTCTACAACCTCCTTTTTGAGGAGAGGCAACCAGGGTTGTACACAGTATATTCCAAATGTGGAATATTCCAAATGTGGACTGTAATCCTCATACTGCCTCCTGTCCTGGCCAGCCCAACAAGTCATTTGGGACAAGCAGCTCCAGAAGAAAAACTGCTTTTTAGAAAAGCGTAGACATTAAAAGGGAATAAAATATTATTTATTTTCTCTCTAGATGGCAACCAACCTCCCCTGTTCTGTCACTCTCCAGCCAGGACCAGATGATGCTGGAAAGGTGAGCTGTGTGCGAAAGCATCCAAGAAACCGGGAAAGCAAATGGAAATTAAAGCATATCTTAATTTAGCTGTGATACCTGCACTTCAGGGGGTTGAACTAGATGACCCTCAGGGATCCCTTCCAACAGTACGATGCTATGGTTCTATGAACCCTTTTCTATGAACCCCGATGGGATGGCTTTCTGTCCTCAAAACCACGAGCCTTTAAAGGCACTTCAGAACTTGGTTGTGTTTGTATCAAGAATTGCAATTAGTAGTCCAGAGGCATGACCCACCCTTAATCTCTAACCAACTTTCTTCTGCATTTTCTTCAGTCTTGTGGGGTCGACTTTGAGGTCAAAGGATTCTGTGCTGAAAACCTGGAGGAGAAAATTCATAAGAGGTAACCCCTCTAGTTTGCTCTTCAGCTGAAAATAAATGATTCAAAGAACAGAATGATTGGCTGGAGGGCCATTTAGCTGGGGGTTCCTGCATTGCAGGCAGCCAGATAAGAGGACCCTTGGTGTCCCTTTCAACATTGCAGTTCTATGATTCTAGGAAAAGGCTCTGAGATCCACTTATGTAAAACCAACAAGGAAAATAAGACAGTTTGCAATCTATTATTGCAATCTGTTATTATTATTCATTGCATTTATATCCCAATTTTTTCTCCAAGGAGCTCAAGGTTACGTCCGTAGTTCTCCTCCCCACCCCTCCCCATTTTTTTGCTCACAACAACCCTATGAGGTAGATGAAGCTGAAAGACAGTGGCTGACTCCCAAGGTCACCCAGTGAGCTTCCTGGCCAAGTGGTGGGGGATTTGAACCCGGCTCTCCCAGGTACTTATCCAACACACTAACCACTCCACCACGCTGATTCTCTAGCAATATAGATTATATATATTTATATGTTTTATGGGCAGGGACGCGGGTGGTGCTGTGGGTTAAACCACAGAGCCTAGGACTTGCTGATCAAAAGGTCGGCGGTTCAAATCCCCGCGACTGGGTGAGCTCCCGTTGCTCGGTCCTTGCTCCTGCCAACCTAGCAGCTCGAAAGCATGTCAAAGTGCAAGTAGATAAATAGGTACTGCTCCGGCAGGAAGGTAAACGGCGTTTCCATGCACTGCTCTGGTTCGCCAGAAGCGGCTTAGTCATGCTGGCCACATGACCCGGAAGCTGTACACCGGCTCCCTCGGCCAATAAAGCGAGATGAGTGCCGCAACCCTAGAGTCGGTCACGACTGGACCTAACGGTCAGGGGTCCCTTTACCTTTACCTTTTACATATGTTAGGAACCCTTGCTGGAAGCCACAGGAAGGGAGAATTGCTCTTGCACTTGGATCCTGTTTGGAGGCTTCCTACTGGGGCATCTGGTCAACCCCTGTGATGACAGGATACTGGGCCCCTTTTGGCCTGATCTTTGGCCTCTTCTTAATTTCTACTGAACTTGGAGGGAGGATTTCTGGAATAGATGAAAGCACCTGCCTCCCACTGGCTTCTTCTTGGAAGAGCTGGATGCAATTTCTGCATTGCAGAGGGTTGGCTTAGGTGACCCTTGGAGTCTCTTCCAGCTCTGCAGTTCTATGGAAGAGGTAAATGCCTCTCTCAATAACACACGTCTTCTCTGTGCAGAAATTCGGTGAGGCTGGTGATTCGGAAGGTCCAGTTTGCACCTGCCCAGACAGGCCCAGCCCCAAAGTCGGAGACGACCAGGCAGTTCATGATGTCGGATAAGCCTTTGCACCTGGAGGCCTCTTTGGATAAGGAGGTGGGTGTTGCATGTTGGCCTTTTGAGGCATTCTCTCCCCTCCACCAAGTCTCTCTGCTCCGGAGTGCCCCATGCTTAGTGAGACATTATTGACCCTTTAAGTGAGCCAAAAATGTGAAGCAGCAGCAAAAACAAAACCAAACCAAAACCTAATGCAGGTCTAAGCTGCATCAACAGAAGTCTAAACCAAGGAATCAAGGGAAGTCATAGTACCTTCCACTTCTACAAGTCCATTGCTTAACCACACCTTGATTTGCAGTCAGTTCATTTGGCCAAACGTCTGGCCTTTCTGATCAATTTCATCATTTATTTATTTATTTCAAAAAAATTATACACCCCTGGGATGTTTTTTTAAAAACAACAACACACCCTTCAGAGCAGTTCATGAAAAAGATAAAACAATAAATCTTAATCAGTAAAAGCAACTCTGTAAAACATTCAGAAGATAAAACCAGCAATTAAATAAAAACAGATTAAAGCAGACATCAACATTCTAAACATGTGGACAGGCTTGCCTAAGCAAAACAGTTTTTAGCAGGTGCTGAAAAGGGTACAGTGAAGGATGCTTTCATGATGTCAATAGGCAGGGAGTTCCAGAGTTAAAGTGCTGCCACACTAAAAGACCAATGTCTTACAAATGAACAGAAGCAGTTGAGTGGGCATATACATGTGGGAAAGCAGGCATCCCCAACCTTTGGCCCTCCAGATGTTTTGGACTACAATCCCCATCATCCCTGACCACTGGTCCTGTTAGCTAGGGATCATGGGAGTTGTAGGCCAAAACATCTGGAGGGCCACATGTTGGGGATGCCTGAGGTAAAGTGATATTGCAGGTAAATTGGTTCCATGCTGTTAAGGGCTTTGCACATTAATAGCAACACCTTGAACTTGGCCCCATAGCAAACAAGCAGCCAGTGCAGATCTCTGAGCACAGGGGTTATATTCTGACAAGGCCTTGCTCTCATAAGCAATTGTATTGCATCATTCCGCAGTGACTTTAGCAGTAATCCAGTCACTGCAAGATGTACCGGTAGTATGCAAAATGGCGCAGGAGATGGTTGCAGAAATAGTTGTGAGTCCAGGAAAAGATTGGGATTTCCTTCCCTTCTTTTTCTCCATCTTCAGCAACAACCCCCTGTCGTTTCAGATTTATTACCATGGTGATCCAATTGGCGTTAATGTCAACATTAACAACACCACCAACAAGATTGTGAAGAAGATCAAAATAACAGGTAAGGGCACCAATAGAACCCTGATTTGCAGGGGGTTGGAAGGGTCACCTTCCAACTCTACAATTCTATGATTCTGTGTTATCACCTCAATAATTTCTTTCTCTCTCTCTGTTTAGTTGAGCAAGTCACAGATGTGGTTCTATATTCGCTGGACAAATACACCAAGGCTGTCTGTTCAGAGGAGTTCATGTAAGCACACAGATCTCTAACCAGACCAGTGTGTCTTTGCACAGATGCCTTCAACTTGTGCAAGGTCTTGGGTCTTCATGAGGAAAATCTGGATCAGTGCCCCCCCCCCAAAAAAAATTGATGATGAGGCACAGAGGAAGTCAGTCTCTTCTTTTGTTTTAATTCTGCCCCAGGACCATTTTCACACCCATTGTGAAAATGCTAACTTCTCTCAGAAATGTCTGAGGAGTTCAACTTTTCCTGTGCTTAATTTGTGTACTTACACATGGATATGAGTCTAACACTTCACTCCACATAATGACGTTCCTTTTCGCTGGAGAGAGGGGTGGGGGTGGGAAGACAGATGAGCCTACCTTGCAAGAGGGTTGTACTAGAGCTGTGTGCAAAATGAGCTCTTGAAATTCTCTACCCTAATTATTATTATTTTTGTGGGGTGGTGGGGGGAGAGAAAAATTCTTCTACAACTTCTTGGGGATGGGTCTCCTTGTTCAGAATGTGGGATGGAAGGACACGCCAATTTCAATTTCCCCCAACTCTCATCTTTTTCAATCTGAAATCTGACTTTCCGTATTTAAATACAGTGGTACCTTGGTTTAAGAACAGTCCTGTTTACGAACGATTCAGTTTACGAACTCCGCAAAACCGGAAGTAGTGTTGCAGTTTGCGAACTTTGCCTCACTCTAAGAATGGAATATGAATGGTGGAAGGGCACTGGCAGCGGGAGGCCTCATTAGGGAAAGCGCGCCTCTGTTTAAGAACGGATTCAGATTAAGAACGGACTTCCGGAACGGATTAAGTTTGTAAACTGAGGTACCACTGTAACAACAAAAAATCCTGAGATGTGATTCCTCCATTCTCAGGGGTTGGACTAGATGAGCCTTAGGGATCCTTTCCAACTCTACAGTTCTATGATTCCATGATTCTAATATTTTTGAGGTGTGTGGTTTTAAATTGAGGCAAGGTGGGCTCCTTTAACCTCCTCCATTGCTGTCCTTCTGCAGGGAGAACGTGGCTGCCAACTCCACCTTCTCCAAAAAATACAGCATCACCCCCAGCTTGAACAACAACCGAGAGAAGCGGGGTCTGGCCCTGGATGGGAAGCTCAAGCATGAGGACACTAACCTGGCCTCCACCACCGTGTAAGTCTGGACCCTGGGGAGTATACTGGAGGCCGGAGAGGGTCAGGGAATTGAGAGAGAAACTGATTCCTTTTCTGTGTTGCCCATTCTCTGCAGTGTGAGGCTGTCACCAACCTTTTGGGGCCCAGAGAAACACTTGTGTGGTGGTTAGAATGTCTGACAAGGGCCTGGGAGAGACCGGGGTTCAAATCCTCACTTGGCCATGCAGCTCACTGGGCGTCCTTAGGGAGGGGCAGTCACTGCCTCTAAGCCCAGCTTCCCTCACAAGGTTGTTGGAGGGCGAATTAAATGAAAACGGGGAGAACTATGGCTGCCACCTTGAGTTCCTTAGAGAAAAAGGCAGAATAGAAATACAACAGATAAATAAATAAATACAAAATATTGGTCAAAAAAGGCTTCTTCCAAGCCACATTTTAGCAGACAGAGGGGCAGGGCCCTGAGACCACCTTGAAAGGCCTCTGCAGATGCACCGGTGGGTGCCACATTGACAAACCATGCTCTTGACGACCACCAACCTGCGCGGCTTCAAAAGAGGAGTGTACAAATTCATGGGAAAAGGGCTACTGATGTTACTAGCTACAATGGCTATGCTCTACCTCTATAGTTGGAGGAAGAAATTTTTCTGGATTCGAGTTGTGGGAAGCCACAGGAGGGGAGAGTTGCTCTTGTGCCCGGATCCTGCTTGTGGGTTTCCCATAGTAGGCATCTGTTCCCCACTGTGAGAAGGCAGTGCTGGATTAGATGGGCCACTGGCCTGATCTTCCAGGCTCTTCTTATGTTCTGATATTCTTGTCGATGGTGACTCCTGTTTGAATGTCTCCTGTTTTTTCTCCCTTAGTCTGAGACCCGGGATGGACAAGGAGGTTCTCGGGATCCTGGTTTCCTACACAGTGAAAGTCAACCTGATGGTATCCAGAGGAGGGTGAGGATGTTTTCTATGGGAGGAACTATCATTTCTGGGTTATGTTGCCTTGTTATTCTGTCCTGCTCAGTCTTGGCCTAGCCTGGTCAGGGTGAATTTTTTTTGGAAATTATTTGATTTCCTCTTTCCCTTTGGGAATGTTGCATTTCTGAAGAGATATGAGGATGCACCCCATAAAGGACACATTTTATTGGCTCAACCCTGTAAGGAAAGGCTGCAGCATTTGGGGCTTACTAGTTTATAGATAATGTGAGTGAGAGGCAATATGATGTAAGTTTATAGAAATATGTCTAGCATGGAGAAAGCAGAGAGAGAAAGGTTTTTGTCCTTTTCTCAAAGCACCAGAACTCGTGGACATCCAGTGAAGCCAAATGCTGCAAGATTCAGGACAGACAAAATAAAGTTTTTCTTAGTTAAACTCCCACAGGAGGCAATGCTGGCCACCAACTTGGATGGCTTTAAAAGACGATTAGACAAATTCATGGCGGAAGAAAAGGGCTATTGATGGCTACTGGTCATAATGGCTATGCTCCTCCTCTACAGCTGGAAACAGCAATGCAGTGGCAGATCTTGGGGTCTCAAATTTCAGCAGTGCCCTGTACAATGCCAAAATTCAGTACCCCTCCCCTTTTCGCACTCCATCATAAATAATAGGTGTGGGACCCCTGAGGCTCTGCACCCAGTGCAACCTAACCACCACTCACACTCCCTTAAATCTGCTTCTGCAGCAATGCTTCTGAATGTGAGTTGCTGGAAACCACAAGAGGGAAGAAGGCCCTTGTGTTCAGATCCTGTTTGCAGGTTGCTCATTTGGGCATCCGGTTGACCGCTGCGAGAAGAGGATGCTCTTCTGTGTCTCTTGAAGTCTATATAGGTCCAAACAATAGGTCCAGGCTCTGCCTTTGGTCTGTGAGTTCACATGAAGCCCTAAGCGGTGGAGAACTGGAAGCCCAAGGGGCTCCCAACAGACCCTCTGAATTGGCCTGGGTGCCCTCACACTGGGATGGGAGGGATAGCCTTCCCAATGAAAGTTTCCACCTTTGTGCAGTCCTCCACCTTGAATCTCCTCTTCTCTTTGCAGCATCCTGGGTGATCTCACATCAAGGTAAGCCCCAATTTACTGACCATCGGCATCACCTCATCTGTGTGCCACTTTTCCACACTGCGCTCAAAGCGTCTCACAGCATACAAAACGAACAACAATAATTATAACGATTTAAGGGAGGGAAACGTATTATGAACAATTAGAAATAATCACAGTGTGAACAAATAGCTGTGATTCCTGCACTGCCGGGCATTGCACTGAATGTCCTTGGCTGCCCCTAGAATTCTCTGATTCTAAGCTTCTGTTTGTTCTCTGAGGCGTCTCCCATTCAGTCCTCTGTCCTCATCTCTTTTTCAGCGATGTTGGTGTGGAGATGCCTGTGGTCCTGATGCATCCCAAACCTGATGATTGTGAGTAAAAGGCTTTGTGCAGGAGATTTGTGGGAGATATAAAACCATCCCCACGGCTTTGTCACCATTCAGAAAGACTTCTCTAAGAGTCTTTCTGAATGGAAGCGCTAAGGACCTATTCCCTGACCTTCCTCCTTCTCCCTAGAATTCTCTTAGGCAGGCTGTGTACACATGACCATCTTGAAACACAGCTGGGTTGTCCTTTTTCTTAATCCAGATTGAAGCTGGCTTTGGAGGCAACTGCATTAAAATGCATTATTTTTTATGAAACCACTGAATGGCTAATGTTGCGTGTGAACATCTGGGGTCCCTTCCAACTCTACAGTTCTATGATTCCCAGCCCAGCACACTGGTTGCTGAGTAAATGGAAGTGTGCACACAGCCACACATTTTGCACCCATTTCTATTTCAGGTTCTTTAGGAACAATAATAACAATGTGACTAATCAGTGTACACCTCTCTTTTTTTCTTCCCTCCCTCTGATGTGTGAATCGTCAACAGCTACACCAAGGTAAGGAAAAATTACGGTAAACATTCCAGGCAGGGAGTGCCTGTTCAAGAGATATGAAATATCCACGAGTTCTCATATATGTGTGCCTGCAGTTCTTGACTACCGCTAAATGTATTTTGGCTGTGATTTCTGCATTGCAGTGGGTTGGAATAGATGATCCTTGGGGGGCCGTTCCAATGCCATGATTCTATGATTCTACCACTGGCGTGAATAGTTGCTGTCCTCCTTCTGCATGCATTGAACCTCAACTGATTGCACAAACTGCATTTCACTGCCACTGAAGTGTTCACTGTAAATTTGATGTCTCTGAAGATGCCCCAAGACACTTTCTTAGGCTTTGCATGTGGAGGATCTGAAAACTGATGGTTTGCTTTTTCCTTCTTTCCCCTCCCTCTTCTACCCTGCAAATGGCTCATCCTGGATATCTGCACTTACGTGTTCTGCTCTTCCAAGGAGGTAACTAGCTGTTCTTCTTTTCTTCTTTGTGGGGTCACTTAAAGCCAGATCCACCTGAAATGTCACCTCCTTCCCTAAAGACCCTCTTGGGTGCTGAAATCGGCAGAGGGGGCCTTCTTGATAGTTCCCTCATCCATCAGAGATGGGGGAGTGGCCTGGCAGGTGGAGGGCCTTCTCTGTGGCAGCCCTAAGTGAGAATCTCCCTCCCTACAGAGGTGCATCTGGCATCTGCATTGCACAGTTTCCAGAGGATGTTAGAGATGCACCTCTTTGCCTTAGCTCTTGACACTCAAGCTGTATATTTTTAGGACACTCCTTATATTGTTATTGGAAGTTGCTTTAAACACTTTTCAACAATGTGTTTTGATTTTAGGATTTTAGGATGGGCAATAAAATAAAAATATTAATATCTATCATTATTTACTATCAATATTAATATTCTTAACAATACTTTTTTATATTACTAAATACAATAATATTTTAATAATAATATATAATAAAGTAATATAAACTAATAACAGCAACAACAAAAGCTGATTGAGAGAGCCTCTGGGGAACATTAGATGGGGGCTGAGGACCATAGGTGGAATAACAGATCACCACAATTGCAGGGGGCGGGGTGGACTAGATGGCCCTTGGAGGTACCTTCCAATCTACAATTCTCTGTCCTCAAAGGCAATGGGGGTGGGGAGACAAGGGCACCAACCTCTGCTCCCATTGGAAGCTTCACCTTTTTCTGGATGCAGCAATGCTTCTGCATCTCAGTTGCTGGAAACCACGGGGGTATCGTGGTGTCTGTGTGTGCTGAGATCCTGCTTGGTGGATTCCACCAAAGAGTTATCTGGTTGGCTACTTTGAGAACAGGTTGACTGGACTAAGATGGGTCATTGGCCTGATTCAGGAAGGCTCTTCCTACATTGTTTCATTCTCTCATTTCTTCCAGTGAGGAAGATATTGTGATTGAGGAATTTGCTCGCCAAAAGCTCAAAGGGGAGAAGGACGATGAGGAAGAGAAGGAAGAAGAAGACAAAGAGAGCTAAGGGCACGACCCACCAGACCAGTGCAAGAAACATTAGACAGCCTTCCCATGTGTCTTCCCCACCATCCCTGCAGAAACATGTTTTCTCTCTAGAGTACGTATTGCATTTGTGATGTGGTAGTTTTTGCTGAGCTTGCTGCTCTCACCTTTCAAAACAAAACCCCCCAAACTGCTGTGGCACTGAGTCCTCAGTCTTGCTGCTCATCCACACTTTCGCTTGACCTGCATTTTGATCATGTCGTGTACTTGAAGTCCTTCTTTATGCAGGGCATAGTTAACCTGTGGAACTCTCTTCCACAGAAGGCAGTGATAGCCACTAACTTGGATGGCTTCAAAAGAGGATCGAACAAATTCATTGGGGGAGAATATGGCTGTTAATAGCTACTAGCCATGACGACTATGCTCTGCCTCCACAGCTGGAGGCAGATATGGTTCTGAATACCAGTTGCCGGAAACCACAGGGCTCTTGTGCTTGGATCCTGCTTGCTGCTTTCCCATTGGGGAATCTGGTTGGCCACTGTGAGGAAAGGATAGTGGACTAGGTCGGCCATTGGCCTGATCTAGCAGGCTGTTCTGATGTTCTTCTGATGATATCATGTACCAGTTTATTCTCTCAGATCCAAGAGCTTTTTTCATCATTCTGGCCTTACAAAAGCCCAAGCTGACCTGCTGAACCAGATCTTCTGTAGACAAGCTGAAGAGAAGCTTTGCTTAATTCAGCAACAATTGGGTTTTTGCAAGGCCCAGACTAACAAGGCCCATAATTAACTTTTACACAATTAAAGGATTCCTACATTGCATGGCTTTGGAGTAGATGACTCCTGGAGGTCCCTTTTAGCTCCACAATTCTCCGAGCCTATGATTCTACAATCAGAATGCAGGTCAAATGAAAGTGTGGCCAAGCCCTCAGACTGCCCTTGAAGGATGGAGGTTCCCGGTTTACCCATTGCAACTATTTGTTCTCTTTGTTTGTTTTTTTAAAACTATCAAGCAGTGTATAAATTTTGTGAAATTAAAATAAACACATAAATAAATAAGCTATGTGTGTGGACATGTTTCTTTGTTGTCTAGAGAGCAGGACTGAAACACGTGGGTTGAGATTGCAGCGGTGCCCGATTTTTGACTAAGTCAATCCTTCACAAATCACAACCACGAAAACATTTAACACTTTATCCTGGTACCCACACGATTTTTTTTAAGGAAACAAATTCTAAAGCACATGTAAAGTATCAAGACATTTGGGGCTCTCCCTAGAATTCATAGAAACTGTAGAGTTGGAAGGGTCCCCAAGGGTCATCCAATCCAACCCCTGCACTGGAGGAATCACAGTGAAAAAATATCTGACCTGGGGCCATCCAACCTCTGCTTAAAAACCTGCAACGAAAGGGAGTCCACAACCTCCCGAGGTCATAGAGTCAAAGGACTGGAGGGTTGGAAGTGAGCTCTAAGAATAATCTAGCCCAATGTCCTGCAATTCATGGCTTTAACCAGCCTCTTTTGTTTCAGTCCACAATGGAGTTTTTTTCTCTACTATACTAATAGTTCAGGAACTTTTACCATTTTGTAACTAAGCAACATTTTAACTGCCTGTGCAACTTTTTCTGACTACTGTATGGAAAAGCATCTGCTTCTGACTCTTTGCAAACTAAACCATTTTATGACTTACCAAATGCGTGGCCTCTTGTCTGCTAGGGTAGTGGAAAAGGCTGGAAAGAGCTTTTAAAAGGGGACATTCTGTATTTCCATGTTTTTCCTTGCTGCATGTTTTATGTTAGATCTCTGCTGGTGTTCACTCACCATCTGAGATCTTTTAAACTGGAGATGCCATGGGAGTTTGAACCCAGGACCTTTTGCATGCCAAGAAGCGACTCTGCCACTGAGCTGCAGAGGCCCTTCTTAAAAGGATTCATCCAGCAAATGCTGCCCCGTAATTCTGTATCCCCTCAGCCAACAACAACAACAACAATAATAGTAATAAGAAGAATTTTATTATTTATACCCCGCCCATCTGGCTGGCTTTCTTCAACCATTCTGGGCAGCTTACAGCATATCTAAATACATAATAAAAAAACATAATAAAAGCATCAAGCATTAAAAACCTCCCGATACAGGACTGCCTTCAGATGTAATTCTTTATCGGATTAAGGCTTTCTGGGAAATGATATATAATGAACTGAAAAAGGTATTTAAATATACCTTCCTGAAGAAACCAGAGGCCTTTCTCCTAGGCATAGTCGGTCAATTGGTGCCAAAGAAGGATAGAACTTTTTTTATGTATGCCACAACAGCAGCAAGAATACTCATCGCAAAGTACTGGAAGACACAAGATTTACCCACTCTGGAAGAATGGCAGATGAAGCTGATGGACTATATGGAATTGGCAGAAATGACTGGCAGAATCCAAGACCACGGAGAAGAGTCGGTGGAAGAAGATTGGAAGAAGTTCAAAGATTATCTACAGAAATATTGTAAAATTAATGAATGTTAGAACGATGTTGGGTAGAAATTAAGTGGTTTCCAGCTGTAATGCTTTAAGGGAATATGAAAAATGGGTTGTTAAGAGATAAAAATCTAAAGTTACTATTTTAAGACCAAAGATTAGGATAAATAAAGAGGGTAAGGATTTGCTGAACCAACAAACTGAACTGGAATACAAAAAAGGGAGGTATGAGGAGGTCCGGGAAACAAGCTAAGGAAATATAAGCAATAGAAAATCTGAGTGTTTTTAATCATTTTTATTTTGTATTTTTTTTTATTTTTTATTGTAATATTTTAAAAATCCTAATAAATATCTTATAAAAAAAAACAGATGTAATTCTTTATCTCCTTGATATCAGAAGGGAGAGTGTTACACAGGGAAGAAGGCCACTACTGAGAAGGCCCTACACCTGGTTTCCTGTAATTTTGCTTCTCATGGTGAGTGAACCAGCAGGAGACCCTCAGAGGAGGACCTCAGTGTCAGGGCTGAACAATGGAGATGGAGAGGTTCCTGCAGGTATACTGGGCCGAGGCCACTTAGGGCTTTAAAGGTCAGCACCAACACCCAGGCCCTGGGGGGCAGGGTTGCAATGCTTCATTGCTCTCCACTACTGCTGGACTCCCTGGGTAAAGAGAAAGGCCTTCAGCACATCACGAGCAGTCAGCTAAGGATTGCAAAAGCTCTCAAATGTCCACTAGATGGCACCAGTCATCAGTTCTGCAGAGGAGCTGGGTAACCTGCAGAAGCATATTTCCCTAGACTACAACAGAGATGGTGATACAGGCAGGCTTGCTGGCTTTTTTTGCCCCTGGAAAGTAACAGGAGACATTGGTGGCGAGTCTTAGTCTACAGTGGTGCCTCGCAAGACGAAATTAATCCATTCCGCGAGTCTCTTCGTCTTGCGGTTTTTTCGTCTTGCGAAGCACGCTATTAACAGCTATTAACGGCTTAGCGGCTATTAACGGCTTTAAGGAAAAGGAAACAAACTCGCAAGAACTCGCAAGACGTTTCGTCTTGCGAAGCAAGCCCATAGGGAACGACTCAAAAAACGGAAAACTCTTTCGTCTTGCGAGTTTTTCGTCTTGCAAGGCATCACTGTACTTTTCAGCAGGAAGGAGGCATTCTCAAAAGCAGAAGGGAATAAAGTGCTACAAGCCTAGTTTGTGTGTGCCAGACCTCTTTAATCCCTGGGTCCATCAAGTGCTAAAATTTCATCATACCAGATCAGCTTCCTGGCAAGGGTGATGACCTATGCCAGTGGTTTTCAGCCAGTGTGCCGTGGCACCATAGGGTACCTTGAATGATGGTCAGGGGTGCCGCAGGCAACACTGGTCTCTGTCCCTATTTCCTTCCCTCCCTCCTCTGATGACCTCTCATGTCTCTGCCTCCCAAAGGCTTGCACAGCTGTTTTGTTGCAGCAGCCCTGGCTACACGCTCCCCAGGAGAATGGTGCCTCTGGGGATGGCCAGGGGTGCTTCCCAGGTCCCTGTGAGGAGGCACCTCTCTTTGGGGCAGGGGGTGCAGAGACCAGGGGCAGCAGGTGCGGCTGCGGCTGCCCAGAGGACTCCCAAGGAGAGGAGGCAGAGGGAACACTCCACAAGGGAGGGTGAGGGGCTGCCGGCTCTGCAGGCAAGGGGTGACATAATGGCTCCTGAGCCTCATAGCGGTGCTGCAGAAAGAATATAGTTGTCCAAGGGAGCTGTGGACTCAAAAAGGTTGAAAACCTCTGGCGACGTGTAAGAAGAACTAAAAAAGGGCTCTGCGAGAGATGGCAAATCTCCACCCCGGCTGCTGACATGGGGAAAGGAAAGCGCTGGAACAGCCCCGGCAATTGACTGCCTAGCCCAGGGGTCAGCAACCTTTTTCAGCTGTGGGACGGTCCACTGTCCCTCAGACCATAAGGTGGGCTGGACTATATTTTGAAGGGAAAAAAATGAACGAATTCCTGTGCCCCACAAATAACCCAGAGATGCATTTTAAATAAAAGCACACATTCTACTCATGTAAAAACAAGCTGATTCCCGGAACGTCCGCGGGCCAGATTTAGAAGGTGATTGGGCCGCATCCAGCCTCCGGGCCGTAGGTTGCCTACCCCTGTGGCCTAGCCTGTACTTGGATACCTGTAGTCAAGGAGAGACCAGCCTGCTTCCAAATAATTGGCTCCGTTGCTAAATTGTCCCAGGCCTCAAAACATTGCAGTGTTGGACTGGAGATGTGTGAGAGCATGGCTACTGAGGCTGAAGGGAGCTGCAGTTTCACAGCAGCTAGAAGGCAGCAAGATCCCCTGTCAACAGTCTCTCTGCAATCCCACCAGGCTATGCAGGTGCTCAGGGACATGCTTCCCTGGGTGGCCAGGTGAAGCCAGGCCCCATCACTTGCAGGGAGAAGCAGGACAGGCCACAGGCTCTTGTTGATGGAGCTGCACAGTAGCCCAGAAGGCAGACAGGCAAAATAGCAGGAAGTGTCTTGTGCTGAGAGGCTCAGGTCCAAGCAGCCTAGCCAGAAGAGAAGGGAGGATGAGAGCTCCCCAAAATCTATTTTCCAGGACCTGGTCCCATTCAACTGAAGGGACACTCTGCATGTGTGTATCCTCACCCCAAATATGGGATCACCCATTGGTCTCTGCTGAGAAAAGGGGTGCCACAAGCCCACAGAAGGCTGCTAACAAGGTGCACTTGAATACACTTTATTAACTTCTGTCTTTTCCTACAAAACCCGATTTTTAGCAAAAGTGATATGTTTTATTTTCCCCCACTACCCACCATACATTTTTTAAATATATTTTTTTAAATTGCTATTTATGTTACAAAAAGAGGAGGGGTTCTCTAGGGCTAATAGTACGTGTCTATTTACAGGTCATCTACAGTGAAACAGCATTGCAGCACCTCAGCACAAGAACGTCCAAGGCACCTCCTTGCATCCTGCCAAGGAAGAGCTAGCTCTGCAAGGCTTCCTCCAGCTTCCGCATGTTGATGGGGGGTATCTTGGCCACCTCAAAGAAGACCCTGTAAGGTAGCGAGAGAGAACTGTTAGGAGGCCGCACCTCACAGCAGTAGTTTCAACACTCAAAACTTGAAGTTCCAGCTTTAGAATTGAGAAGGAACTTCACCTTCCAAGTCTTTATTTTTACAGCCACATTTTTATGTTACTGAGCCAGCTCCAGTATTTCACAGCTTAGCTCACAGGCTATTTGAAAGACTGTATTCCCTCATATGAACCTGCCTGGGCTTTGAGATATTCGGGAGAGGCCCTTCTCTCCATCCCAGCACCCTCCCAGGCACGCTTGGTGTGGGAGAGGGCCTTCTTGGTGGTGGCTGCTCCCAGACACCTCAGGGAGCTGTCTCCTGTCATGAGTGTGTAGTATGAATGTTAGGCCCAAAAGAAAATGGAGAATTCGCAGAGCATGATATGCCGGCAAGAGAAGCGAGAAACTAGTTTTATCAAAGAAGAATGTATGACGGTGGTGTTGTTTACTGAAAGCAAAAAGCCTCAAACAAAAACAGGGAGGAACTGGCAGTGGGCCATGGACATGAGATAACGGTCCGGAACATACTGTCTGCCTGCTCTGAAGTATGACTGAGAAGGTTTTTTTTTATGATGGTCCAGGAGGAGAACAGGAGAAGAGCGGTGCAGACAACCCATGGACGGCAATGGGAAAGAAGACTATAAAAAGGACCCCTTTGCATGCCCTCAGTGTTGCTGGGACAATCGCTACAACCCAAAACCCACAGCTCTTGCGAAGGCATGAATAACCTAAATGAAGGGCCATGTGAGTATGGATGAATGTGTGTGTTTTTGAACCTCCTGGTACCAGGATATTCATGTATGCTTGATTATATGAAATAAACGTTACATGAAAGGTGTGTAAACCCTGATCTGGTCTCCAACGTGTCTTATTGAAAGTCCTATAGTCACTTGTCTCTCCAGATTTTAAAAGAACAAAGTCACCACAGTTTTGTGACACTCCCTCCCTAGAGAAGCCAGACTGGCTCCCTCCTTGCTCTCCTTCTACTGGCAGGTGAAGACTTCTTTGTTCCAACAGGCTTTGGGGAACTCACTGCTTTTAAGGAAAGGGCGTACATATTTTATACATCTATATAGTTTTAATCCTATTATTGTTTAGTTGTTTTCTAACAATTCCCCCTAAACACACACCTCCATGTTTTTAGTTTCTTCTTTTTTTAAGCTGTAAGCTGCCTTGAGGCCCTCTCAGAAAAGGTGACGTGTACAATAACAATATTTCTACAACCTGCCTTTTCCAAGCCCATCCTCCTTCCTTCAACAGTTCTCCATCCTTGGAGACAAGGCAAAAGTGGGATAATGGCCCTGGTTGCCAGCACTGAGAGTAGCCAAGTAAGGATTCTGCTTAAGCACAGATTTTTTTTGCACCTCAGGGGGCAGAAAGAAAAAGCCCTACCGGTGGGAGTACTTGCTGTACACAGTATTGAGTCGTTCATCGTGCTTGTAGGTCAGCATGAAGTTGAGTTTCTTCACCAGAGGGTAAAGCTCTTTATCTTTGTAGCCACTGTAACGTTCTAAGGTGGGACCCTGTTGGGAGAGAGTGAGTGAGTAAGTAAGGGGCCTCTTTGCCCTACCCTGATATGCCTGAGGATTCACACAACCGGAGGCTCCTCTAGCAGCTTTCTGACTTGGTTCTGGCTGCCCCACCCAAAGGGAGCCCTGCTTCGAGGGCCTCAGCCTCTTTGTCAGGTTCAGGAGCCACCAGCTGCAAGGCCCTGCCCTCCCTGCCACTGCTCCAAGGCCACCCACTCACCCAGCCCCCGAGCTCTTTCATCCTGAGTGCCAAAAAGAGGCAGGCGGAAGCCAGCTGAGAGGCGCTTTCCTGTACGAAGTCGTAATCCTGTAGGGTGAGCTCGCAGATGAAGCGAGCCAGTGTCAGAGTCTCCATGTTGACCTGTGCGCACTGCAGAGATGGAGAGTGAGAAAGGAGGAAGCAATTGTGAGAAGAGGTCACAGCAGTCCATAACTGTCAAGCGTCCCTTATTTGGCGGGATAGTCCCTTATCCCAGCGCCATGTCCTGCTGCTGTCCCTTACAGATGAGGCTTCGTTTGGCTGCTGGCTGGGCTTTCTGCCTCTGGCTTGGAGGGGCTCAGAAGCTGAACATACATGTGCCCGGAAAATACCTTATTTTGGCTGCTGATCCCTTAATTTTGAGGCTCCTGGTCCCTTATTTTCAAATCTGTAAGTTGACAGCTATGCAGCAGTCTGCAGCAAAGAGTCTGCAGCGGTCAGAAGGGACTATCAAATGTGCCTTTGGTAGCTGTCACTGTTATGAGTCATGAAACAGGAAACTGCCTTATGCTGACCCTCAATCTAACACAGTGCTTACAGTGTACTGCTTACACTTACCCTACCAGATGCTAGCGGGGATTGAACCTGGGAACCTCTGCATGCAAAGCAGACACTCCACCACTGAGCTATGGCCTTTATAGCCTAGATTCACAGCAACCTGTGGGGCTTGGCCAACCCTTCATGTGCCCCCAACTAGGAGGCTGCCTGAGGTGGATCTCTCCAGCCTGTGCGCCGGAGGAACAAGACCTGCCAGCTGTAGCAGCCACAGAAGCCCAGTTCCTTTCCCTCGCAGATTCTAGCACCCTGATCAAAGACAGAAAGAAACCACCCAAGACAAACTAAGGCCATCATTATTATTTAAACTTGTCACTTTATTTTTACTTTTTAAAGAAAAGTAACTCAAAGTGACTTACCTTAAAACCAGCGTGAAGCCAACAAAACCTAAAACCCACTAATATTTTTTAAAAGGAGGGCCAAAACATCCCACCCATGGAAGGAGGGGTGATTCACCAAGGAGGCCTCAGAAGGCAGCATGGCAGACGCCATGGCAGCAGGCAGCTCCTGAAGCCAGCCAGAACCTACAACGCTACCTGGCTGGCTCCTGGGCTGCTGGAACTGTTGCTGCCAGCACCGACACCGGAGACGAACCAGGGGTGCCCAGAGCAAACTGCAGTCCCCCCCCCAGCGACCTTGACCGAGCTGGAACCAAGAGCACCTGGCCATCTGGAGCTCCGAGGTCACTGGACCTTGGAGCCAGTGCGGAAACAGGAGGGGAAGGAGAGAAATGAGCCCAGGCCCCACCACTTCTGCCTCCACCGACACCAGTGTGGAAACCGGGGGCACCCAGCGCGCCTACCGAGGGAGCCACAGCCTCCCTCCTCCCCAACAACCCAGCGGAGCTCCAAGGCTGGAGGGACCTCAGAGCCAAAGCGACAAAGGGTGGGGAGGAGGAGGAAGGGAGAGAGGAGCCCCGACCTTGCTACCACCACCACCGCCACCGAAGAAGAGGAGGAGAGGGAGGAGAGAGCCGGGAAGGCAAGGGAGGCCGTGAAGGAACACGTGGCTGAACCTAGGCCCGACTGAAGCCTATCTCCCAGGTGGCTGGTGCACTAAGAACAGGCAGGGAGCCAGAGGGAAACCACTTAAAGAGCGCTGCATGGTCACCACCCTCCCGCTGAGAAAGGAAAAAATACCGTTTCTTAAAAAACACTATCATCACTTTTTAAAATCTATTTTCAAATATTTTTAATTCCCCCCTTACTATTCTCTCTCTCTCTCTCCTTTAAAAGACAACCCCCCTTTTTCTCCCCCGCTTTTTCCACCTCTCAATTTTTATTTTTACATTTATTTTTTAAAAAACTTTATCTTTATTTCTACCTCAGACCCTTCCTTTAAAAATTAAAAATGGTGGTGCCCAGAAGAGAGCCCTGATCCATCGCAGGCCGCTCCCTGGGATCGCCACTCCAACCCCTCTCTGATTTATTTTATTGATAATCTGCCCCTCTCTGATTTATTTTTCTCTATTTTCTGCATTTCGTTTTTATTTTTGTCTCTCTTTCTATTTTCCACCCTCATTTCTATTTTTTGAAAAAAAGGGGTGCAGAATTTTTTTAGTCCCTTTTAATTCTTAAACCTGGACCTACTCAAAAATAGTCTCCATCCCAAAACCTCTGAAAGACAGCCTCAAAGTAGAATTATATCGCTCAATCTCATTAATAAACTAAGACTGCAATATATTCACATCAATCTTGGGCAACCGCCTAAAAATCTTCCTACACAAGTTAATAGCTGCAGACCAGACAGGCTTTGTCCCTGGTTGCAATATAACAAACCCCATCAGGAAATTACTGAACCTGATTGAACACAGCAAGGCAACTAAACTCCCACTGACAATTATGTCCCTTGACATCCTCAAAGCTTTTGATTGCTTAGACTTACCTAACTTAACTAACATGAAGTTTGGCCCCAACTTCCTACAAATCCTCAAACAGATATACTCCCAAGCCTCAGCAAAATGCAGGACTAACAATATGGACTCTAATACTACAGTGGTATCTCAGGTTAAGTACTTAATTTGTTCCGGAGGTCCGTTCTTAACCTGAAACTGTTCTTAACCTGAAGCACCACTTTAGTTAATGGGGCCTCCTACTGCCGCTGCGCCACCAGAGCACAATTTCTGTTCTCACCCTGAAGCAAAGTTCTTAACCCGAGGTACTATTTCTGGGTTAGCGGAGTCTGTAACCTGAAGCATATGTAACCTGAAGCATATGTAACCCAAGGTACCACTGTATAGCAATCCAAAGAGGCACAAAACAAGGATGCCCATGGTCTCCCTTCTTATTTATCCTGGCCCTGGAACCTTTAGTAATCTGAATCTGAGCAGCCACAGGCATCAAGGGAGTGGAAATAAAGGGCAGAATCTATAAATTAGGGCTCTTCGCAGATGACCTAATGGTCATAACACCAGACGCCATAAGCACAGCAACATCCCTAATCAGGAACTCAACACATTTGCAACAGTATCGGGCCTACAGGTAAATTTTGTCAGAAGTCAGAATCTATGTGCTTCAATACCCCTCCTCACACCCAAAAAGAACTCACCAACGCCACCAAGATAAAACCACACCAAGTTCAGAGGCCTTGGGGTACAAATAACCAGAAACCTCAATAAATTATACCTCCACAACTCCAAGCCCTTGTGGCAACAATTAACAAAGAGCTAAAGAGATGGAACAACATGAACTTCACCCACTCAGACAAAATAGCCATGATCAAAATGATCACTCTCCCAAAACTAACCAACCTATTCCAAACCCTCCCAATCTGGATACCCCCAACCCAACTCCGCAAATGGCAGACAAAAACTACACTCATTTATATTCTCACATAAAAAACCAAGAATAAGCCCCAAATAACTGCACCTCCCCTCCTCAGAAGGATGGAGAAACCCCAACATAGAAGCATATTACACTGCCAACCAAGTACGCCATATAACCCCATATATACCAGAAGATGAGACTAGAAGATTGATACACCTAGAGAGGGACACAATTGAAAATGCCTGCACCACAGCATACCCACTCCTCCCAAACAAACTAAGGAAAATTCTCACAACACTTAACAGGTACACACAGACCAGGCTCAAAGCATAGAAAGCAGAAATAGGCAAACTATCCCCAACCCCATCCCCACTAATTCCCCTGGTACGCCACCCATTATTCCACCTGCAGCACAAAACCTCCAGATAAAAACCTGGCAAACCAAAGGCTTATATCGCTTAATAGACTTCTATAAAAATAACAAACCTTTGTCAACACAAGAAATACAGGACAAACTTGAAGACACCCAAATGCCCTGGTTAACACACCACCAATTACATGTCCTCTTAAACAATCCAGTAGTAAAATCAGCAGCAACTAGGCCCCTGACAACCTTCGGAAACCTCCTCCCCTAACAACAAAGGGACACGGCAAAGGGATGGTATCCACAATATACAAAATACTACTCCAAAATCCCATGAATTCCCCAGACGCAATTAAAAAACAATGAGAGGACGACATAGGCTATGAGATTAACCCCATCCAGTGGAGCAGAATATGGTCTAACCCCCCCCCCCCATTAAATCCGTATCAACGAAAAGGAAAGAACTCACTCTGAAACTCACGCACAGGTGGTACCTAACACCAAGAAAACTAGCGCTAATATGCCCAGAAACCTCACCTAACTGCTGGTGAGGGTGCACCTCCACAGGCACATACCTCCACAAGTTGTGGGAATGCCCCCAAATCCAACTATTCTGGACAACAGCCATACAAGACATATGTAAGATAGCTAAGCAAGTATTAGAAATCACCCCAGAATTGGCCCTACTAAACATCTTCCAAGACAATAATGCCCATTTACACCCCAAAGAACTCATAACCCACCTACTTTCAGCAGCCAAAAACACCATAACCAGACACTGGAGAGACCTGTCAGGAGTAAGCATGGACCAATGGTACCAAATAGTATGGGAAACAGCCCTACTAGAAATATTAACCAATAAACTGAAACTGACACGGGGACAAACAGAAGAAGACGCCTTTACCCCGGTATGGCTCCCCTTTAACACATACACAGCCCAACAAGACGACAAAATTCCACCAACAGCATACAAATCAATATGGCTAACCTGATCCAAAACACCTACCCACTCACACATGAAAACGAAGATCACCACAGCCAGTCACAAATGAACAACCATTCCCTAGGCCAGGGGTCTGCAACCCGCGGCTCCGGAGTCGCATGTGGCTCTTTTACACCTTTGCCGCGGCTCCGGGGCGGATACTAGCGAGGGGAGGAGGCGCATTGTGCGCCCCAACACTCCCCACTGTGGCGGGCACTGTACTGGCTGTGACGTCGTATGGGGGCGGTGCGTGCGTTAGTCACGCACCGTCCCAACGTCATCTTCCCGCCCGCTACATTGTAAGGGGCATGTACGCTGGTCACTGCATTGAAAGGGGGCATGTACGCTGGTCACTGTTTCGAAGGGGAGTGAAGAACACACACACACAAAAAGGTAACTTGTTAATTTAACGTTTATTTCTATGAGGAGGAGTAATTCTGAGGGGTCAAACAAAGAAATAATAAAAAAGTGACAAAATAGTTATTTTTATAATGAGGAGTTTTGCGGCTCCCAGATTTTTTTTCTTCGGAAACGGGTCCAAGTGGCTCTTTTTGTCTTAAAGGTTGCAGACCCCTGCCCTAGGCCAACCCCAACTTCTTTCACAACCAAAGGAACACAAGCGAATAGCAGAGAACATGCACAAGCGAAGCTGACACAAACCCACACACATACAGTGGTACCTCGGGTTAAGTACTTAATTCATTCCAGAGGTCCGTACTTAATCTGAAACTGTTCTTAACCTGAAGCACCACTTTAGCTAATGGGGCCTCCTGCTGCCGCCGTGCTGCCGGAGCACGATTTCTGTTCTCATCCTGAAGCAAGGTTCTTAACCTGAAGCACTATTTCTGGGTTAGCGGAATCTGTAACCTGAAGCTTATGTAACCTGAAGTGTCTGTAACCCGAGGTACCACTGTAAAATAGAAACATCGCCACCCGACCCCACCCCCACTCGCCTTTCCCCCCTCCACCTCCTCTTTTCTTCCTAACACTAATGTCTCAACAAATGAAATTGATCGGTAAAAATGTTACTTGGAAAAGAAAAAAGGAGAGACACTGTTCATACTTTTGTAACCAAGAATTTTTTTAATAAAAATACATTGAGAAAACTATCTATCTATCTATCTATCTATCTATCTATCTATCTATCTCAAAGGAGGACTCAGATCATTCAAATCCAAATGGGATCCTAACAGCAAATACACCTTTTGTGTCAGTCGCTGTTATGAGCCTCATAGAGGAAGCTGCCTTATGAGCCAGACCATTGGTCTATCTAGCTCAGTACTACCTGCACTGACTGGCAACAGCTCTCCTGGGCTTCAGGCAGGGGACATTCATACCTCCACCAGGAGATGCCACTGGGGATTGAACCTAGGATCTTCTGATGATGGCCTAGCCGAAAAGAAAAGGCCCAGGTAACGTTTCACAAACACAGGGGCCAAACCCGAGGGTTGCTACTGACCTTGGCATATTGCCGGAGGAAGCGGTAAGCGATGGGGATGTTGATGTCATACTTGAGCGCTATCAAGATACTCTTTTCAGTGCAGAGGAACACCTTCCTATCGTATGCATCATCACAGATGTACAGAAAGTCATCCACACAGGGTGGGCAGCGCTCCTGCAGGGAGAGAGAGGAAGGATTGGGTGGGGAAGGGGTGGTTCCTGCTACATCCTTTAAACAATCATTAAAAAACAGCTAAACATTGATAGAACTACACACACACACTCAAAAAAATATATTAAAACTCTACAAAAAACCAACACAGTGCCAGTCTTTTCCTTAAAAGCAGTCAGTTCCCCAAAGCTTGTTGGAACAAGAAGATCTTCACCTGCCTGTGGAAGGACAGCAAGGAAGGAGCCAGTCTGGCTTCTCTAGGGAGAGAGTTTCTAAGTTGTCTGAGAGGAGCCACCACCAAGAAGGCCCCATCCCGCATCCCCAATACGGGCTAGCTGATGTTTCCAAGCACTTTTCAAAGGCATCCCTACAGTGGGCATGCTACAGTAGTTCAGAAGGGAGGTGACTAAGGCATGCATCATGGTGGCTTGCTGCTTGGGCTAACCTCAAACTTGGAGGCAATGAGGATGGCTGTGGAGCCAATGAGCTGCAGTCTGTCTCGCATGGTGGTCTCTTTCGCCAAAAAGTGGTCCAACAGCTTGACCGCCAAGTAAAGTGTCTCATGATTGAGCTCAAAGTTCTCCTGAAGAGGGAGGCAAAATAAGCCAGGTTACACATTGCTCAAAGACTTCCTAACCCTAACTGAAGTCCTAAAGGACAGAAACTTGAGGGCTGTGTTATTTTTAAAGGCAAGCTGGTCCTGCCAGGATGTTAAGAGTCAAAAAACAAAAGCAGGCAGCTGGTCTATACCCAGCATGGCTCTTGGGCAGAAAAGGGTTTCTTTCCGTTTGGGCCCCCTGTATGTAGCAGCAGCAGCAGCAGCTCTGCCCCTGAGCTGCCACCCCCTGTATAGTATTTCCCACCAGGAACAGGATTTGAACTTGCTCTCACCTTCTGCTCCACATTGCAGTGCTCCAATCCAATGACCAAGAACTTCAGGGTCAATGGGCAATGTTGCAGGAAGAGTGCCAGAGGATGCACTAGCTCCCATCCTACACTGCAGCTGTGGACAATTCCCTCCATGGAAAATCACTGAGTCCCAAACAGACCTTTTGCTATTTCCTTCATTGCTAACAGTCCACCTACAGCTTTCTTCCTTGCCCAACTAGGCTCAGTCATAAGCAGGGGGACATGAATTGTGTCGCTTGGATGGGTGGATGGATGCCACCTACATAGGCAGCATTGCAGGGGGTTGGACTAATAATAATTTATTATTTACACCCCGCCCATCTGGCTGAGTTTCCCCAGCCACTCTGGGTGGCTCCCAATCGAGTGTTAAAAACAACACGGCATTAAATATTAAAAACTTCCCTAAACTATGACTAGAGGGCTCTTGGAGAACCCTTCCAACTCTACCATTCTGACACCCACCTGCACTTCCACCATCCAGTCCACCAAGATGGCCCGCATTTCTGTGGTGATGTCAGGCTGATCCTTCATGTAGTCTGGGAGCAAGTACCTCTCCTGCAAAGGAGGGAATAGGTGAGAAGGAGCTGTGCCAGCAAGGTGCCCCTGCCCACCCCCAGCAGCCACCCAAAACTTCCACAGGGATGAGGACTACCAAAGAACAGCCCTTGTTCTAGGACCAAGCAAAAGGCCAAAGCAATTGGCACATGGGTGGTGCCAGAATTTGTACCGACTATGGCTTCTTTTTGGATTCACAGAAACTGGAATTACGCAGAGGCACACTGCCTTTGAAGGTATAACCCCCCAATATTGGCAATTTCAACTCACACACACCCTGGTCAGCTTCCTTTGCTCCAGGGGGCTGAGGTGTGGAGTAAAGGAAGCACACCCACCACCCCAGAGCTCATCCCCACACTACCTCACGTTCCCGCATGTACATAAAGATGTCCAAGGCATATTCACAGTTGGCGTAAGGGTCGCCCAGCTGGCCATTGTTGTCGACTGGCACGACCTGCACATCAAAGTATGAGTGTATAAATATAGATACAGAGAGAGGGGGAGAGAAACACATTCCAGGCCTCAAACTGCTTTATTTTCTACTTAGAGGAAATAAAACCAGCTTCAGAGAACTTAGTTCAGCTCTACCCTTTGGATGTACACAGGAGCTCTACTCCTGAGCTACAGCCCTTCATCAGTCTTCCCCCCTAAGTGCTCATAGCAGTGTGGGACTGGTGGGCTTCTAATTGCAGTAACTTGCAGCTGGGTCTGTAGACATGGGCTTAAATGCAGGGGAAGTCCACGGGCTCTGGATGCAGGCAGAACTGCACAGAGGTGTGGAGTGCACAGAGCCACAAGGCCCATTGCATGACCTTTGTTATGTGACAAGCTTCTGAGCAGATGCCTAAAGCCATCCAGCAGACAGGAAAGGATAGCAGCTAAGGGGAAGAGCATCTGCCTGGCATGCATATGGTCCCAGGTTCAATCCCTAATGGCATCTCAGAATAGGGCTGTGAATGTCCCCTGCCTGAAACCTACGAAAGCTGCTGCCAGTCAGTGCAGAAAATACTGAGCTGAATGGACCAATGGTTGGTTTGACTCATTATAAGGCAACTTCCTGTGTTCTGATGTAGATCCATCAATGTCTGCAAGCCATGAAAGCTGCAGAGGTGGACTTCCTGGTTTCCGCAAAATGGCAACTGGACTGAGAATCTGATGGCCCCACCAGATTTGGCTTCATAGAGCGAGGGGAAGAGCGCGAGGGTGACGCACCTCCCTCCAAAACCCCAAGAGGAGCATTGGGGTGCCTTGGGGTCCTGCAGCCTCACGGAGGCCCCGCAGATTGCCCGTTCTCTGCCTCTGTCCCAAAAGGAACGGAGAGTTGGGGGGGGGAGCCAAAGGAGCCGACGGGCTAAGCACTAGCGCAGCTCTATGGAATGCAAAACCACAGAATCCAGCCACAAGCTGCCAACATTCCAGACACTGAACTGCTTGGAAGGTGAAGAAAAATTGATTAATTTGGACAATCTAGCAAAAAACGAAGTGAAAAAAAAAAGTCCGCTCCCATTACTGGTGCTATAGGTACGAAATATATGCAAGTGAAGTGTGGATGAAACTCATTTTGGAAGATAACTAATGAATTATTAGAACTAAAAGAATGCATGTTGCTTTTGCTTACATCAATCTCAAAGACCTACCCTCAAAGACCTCTAAACCTACGCTATCTTTGGTAAAGAAGTCTTTGAGCCCTCAGAGTGTTGAAGACATCTAACCTAACAGAATAATTGTGGATTTGTTTAAGAAAATAAAAAAGGACTGTAATATTCATTGCAAATACTGGCCTGATTTAATTTTTAGAATGAATCAGTTTTATGTATATTGGTAGTTCAAAACTATTTTGATATGAATGGATATTAAGAAGGAGATTGTTAAATCTGCTAAAATTCATTTTTGTGACTAAAGTGGAAGGCGGGGGGAGGAGGCTGAATGTACTGGGCTATTTTACTGAATCTAGTTAAATGGCCTTGACAAAGTACTGACAAAGTTAAAAGAATACTGTCCTTGGTGGGAAAGAACTTTTTGTTTTGGAATTTAATCTCGGAAAGGAAGCTGGGATAAGGGGAAAGAACTCACCCCGCCCCCCTCTTGAACCAGAAATGCCAGAAGCAAAAATTTCAATGCTGAAACTAAACAGCGTAGTTGACTTGCTTTTAGAATTTAAGAATTTAGGCAGCTTTTCAAGTTTGGGAGAATACTAAATTACTGTCAGAGGCTGTGGGACAACTTAGAGAGGTGAATGCACAAACTATTAAGGTTGGAAAGGCTGGGGTGCGAGGTTTGAAGAAAATACAAGGGAAAGTAAGGTTGGTCTATAATAAAAATGATACCTTGTGTGAATTGATTTGGGAAGTTTTGAAGGTGATGGAGATGAAGCAGGAAAGGCCGGTAAAGCGTATGAGAGGCTACCATATGTGGTGGCAATGTAAAATTATTAAGAAAGCCTGGGATGTGATATATAAGGATTTGAAGAAAATGTTGAAAATGATTTTTGTTAAAATTGAAGCTGTGATTCTGGAAGCTACAGGACTTAATGGATTTACCATGCAAAAGACATTGTTCCTGCATCTGAGAACATTAATTGAATTAAAACAGCCAGTTGGAGTTCCTGAACCCTTTTCAAAGGCAGCCCCATATAGAGTGTTACAGCAGACCAGAAGGGATATAGCTAAGGCATGTGTCACTGTGGCCAAATCAGACTTCTCCAGGAATGGGCGCAGCTGGTGCACTAGTGCAAATGCACTCCTGTCCACCCCGGACACTTGAGTCTTGGAGCACTCCCAAAGTGCAAGCCTGCATCTTCAGGGGGAGTGTGACCCCATCCAGGACAAGCTGAACCCCTATTCCCTGTTCTGCTTTCTGACTGACCAAGAGACCTCTGTCCTGAGTTTTAAGTTCCTGTTCTCAGTGGTCAACCAGTTGCCCTAAAGGCAGGACCAACCAGTTGCCCTCAGGCAGAACCAAAGCACAAGAGCAACACTCTCCCCTCCTGCAATTTCCAGAAGCTGGTATTTGGAAGTCTTGCTGCCTCCAGCCATGGACACAGAGCACAGCCATTGTGGCTAGTTGCCATTGATCAAGACACACCTCCATTGTCTCAGAGCAAGTGGGGTTCAGTGCCGACGCCATTTGATCCACCGATGTCAGGGAATGGTCTATCTCCTCTTCTTCGTCCTGAATCGCACCCTTCTTAGCAAATTGGTCAGAGTTTGGTGGTGCTTCCTCAGAGGCAGCTTTGCTTAGAGACCTGAAAGGGGACACAGGGATAGTTCAGAGTTGTAATGGGACATTAGGACTGCTTGGCTGGGGTGGAATGCCTCACCCCAAGCACCTCAGTTAACCACAAGGGACAGGCATGACTCCCAGTATTAAAAGAGCCTTCTGCATGGGCAGTGAGTGCTCTAACCACTGATCCATTCCTTACCTGGATAGGATAATGATTCCAACTGAGAAAATAGAGAGATTGTGGGGGATGGGAAATGAAACCCCAATATTTGTAGGCATCTGTGATAGAACAGGGAGGAAAGCTACTATATATTCTTCAGTAAACATAGACCAGCCTAGCAGAGGCAGAGAGAAGCCTCTCCTAAGCAGGTGGTACATGCAGCCATCAATGTGATGCATTCCCCTTGTTAGAGAGAGGCAAAAAGCCACTGAAACGCGAGAGGCTGGTGTCACAGTTTGGTTCGACGCCTGGCTAGGTGCCACTAGCTCCAGACCACTTAGTAGGGTTTTTTGTGCTTTCATGACACAGGGGTAGATCTCAGAAGTGGTGGGAGGGGAGATGGGGGCACCCCAACCCAACATGTGCTCAACCTCTCACTTTTTCACGACGTGTCCGTCGCTCTCTGTGACTTGCGGCAGAGCTGCTATCTCTGAAGCTTTCTTGGCCACCTCCTTCTTCCCTTGCTTCTGTAATGACGTGTGGGCCTGCAGGGGAGAGGCAGAGAGGCCGTTACCTGCACACATCCACTTTGATGGAGGCTGCAACCTCCTGGTTTTAGAAAGGCTGCCCCACATCTAATTCATTCTTAGCCCTGGACAACAGTGGGAAAGGAGCCATTCTTCCCAGACAAGTTAAGAGGGGTGGAGAGGCAGGCAGGTTGCTAATGGCACCATCACAACACAGGCAGTGGGTCACCCCAACCCTACCCCCAGGAAGAAGAGTACATACTTACATTGGTCATATCCCCAAATGCAGGACGCTTTCGGCAAGCCCCGAGGGGTTGGGGTCGCTTTGCCAGAGAGCTCAGCTCCTAAGATAAAGAGAGGTTAGCCAAAACAGGCCTGTGTTCAACAAGGGCCCTCACTTGAACTGCCTCAAACCACCCCTTCCCCTAAACCCAAAGCCTTGTCCTTGCAGACACAGACCAGGCAGGCAGGGCTGTGCCTGGAACAGAGCTAAGGGTATCAGTAGAAGGGCATCATTCCTGTGTTCCTAAGCAGATGCCCCCATAAAGTCCACAAGCCAGGCTTTGAGCCAAGAGCCTTCCCCTGCTGCCCACCAGTGGTACACTGCCTCTGAACATGGAGGTTCTACCTATCCCTTCATAACTCACAACCACTCCATGAACTTGCTTGATACTTTTTAGACCTCTGAGGTTTCCCCTCTCAACACATGGATAGCCAGAAATATGAGAATGGTTAGTGTCAGATTGGGACCAGGGTCTAGATCCTGCCTCTCAGGCTATCCTACCCTACAGGGTTGTTGTGGGGATTAAATGAGGAAGGAGAGAACCATGGACGCCACCTAGCACTCCTTGGAGAAAAATGTGAGACAGAGATGCAATTAAAACACACACACACACACACACACACACACACACAACCACACTGCAGAAATGGCCCAGAAGGGTGCTGCCCAGGAGCAGTCCCAGACAGACATCGCTTGACACAGCAACCTGCCCTCAAGCAAGAGGTTGGGGTGGTAGGATGTTCATCACAGGCAGAGCACCTCAGCATGGGGTGTGGGGAGAGTGGATGACGAGGCCTCTCTCCCCCTAAACTCACCTGCTCCGCTTCGGCATTATCCGCACCCGCAGTTGCTCCGTCCACTTGGGACGGCACGAAGTTGCGCGGACGTGGCATCTTCCCAACTAGAAGCCAATCTCTCCAAAGAAACCTGGGGATGCGGAAGAGTGGAGGTTGAAATGCTAACATCTTGGAGGGCAACACCCCAGAGGGGACTTCCTGCCGCCCCCCCCCCCCGGTCCAGGAGCGCAGTGCCCAGCAAGGCTAGTTTTGCCCCACGGGCGCAAGGACGAGGAACAGCGGCTGAGCGACTGCTTGGCTTACAGGGCAGGGGAGTCCCGAGAGGAAAGACCTGGTAACAGCTGGGCACCCTGAAACAATGCGTGGTCAAGAAGGACGCTGAAGAGTTCAAGGGGGTTTGGCCGCAGAGCCGCAAGGGCAAGGCGTGCCTTGGGCATCCAGAGGCGGCAGCGGTGGGGGCGGACTCATATCCAACTCCCAGGGTGAAAGTTGGACGGGGATCCTTGCCCCCGTAGGAATCCAGCGGGGAAAGGCTTACCTCCCGGGGGACCCAAACCAGATCACTTGGTTACGTACCTGCTTTTGCTTTTTTTGCTGCTGCTGCGCTTCTTCCACTGTACAAAAATGCGTTTTTAAACATACGACGTGGGTGGAATGGCGGCCTCCGATTGGCCCCCACAGCAGCCAATCTGAGAGCCGAAAATGCCCGCGGACGTTATCCAGAGTGGGCGGGGCGTGCAGGATTATTTTAGAATTTTTTAAAAATCCGGCTCTGGCAACCAATAGGAACGAGCGGAGCTTCGTCTTCGTGGGGCGGGGATGAATGGAAACGGGGCGGGTGTGAGCTCCGCTTTCTTCCTCACTCCCTGATTGGCTGTAGGGAAGTCAGGAGCAATTTCACCTTAAAGGGATAGCGGCACGGAATTTGACGGAGAGCGAGTTTGCTCAGAGTAAGCGGGATAGGGGATCGGGGATCGGGGGCCAGGCGGGACAGGGCAGGGTCGAAATTATGCTTTCTGTCACCCAGGTCAAAGACCCAGTTTGGCACCCCACCCCTCCCCGGATGCGTGTTTGCGTACATACACATACAAACAAACGAACACCTCCCCCAACACATTTATTCATAAAGGGCATAAAAAGCAGGCAATATATAATTTGAATACAAAGGAATCCTAAGAAGTATTATGACTGTATGACCAAAGGGAAAATGAGCATCTCTTCCAGTAAAAGCAAATTGTTTGTCAAAAGTAGAACTGCCATGTGCAGCAATTGTCTATCTGTGGTCAGGTTTTTAATTGGATTTATTTGGTCACAGGATCATTAAAAGACTATATTTCCATAAGGTCATCCAAGACCCTCTGGTTTGCTTTTAAAATGTTTTTGCTCGCCTCTTTGAGGCTTTTTTCCATCCACCCCTTGTGCAAACCCTTTCAATGAGTTTTGACGTGTAAATTACTCCCGAGTAAGCTTCAAAAAGATTCATTTCAATTTTATTTTTGTTTTATTACTAATTTTAGGAAATGATAATTTTGTAGTCATTTTAGGTTCCATGTAAGGTGAAAGAGGGAAGCGGGTGGCGCTGTGGGTTAAACCACAGAGCCTAGGACTTGCCAATCAGAATGCTGGCCACATGACCCAGAAGCTGTATGCCGGCTCCCATGTCCAATAAAGCGAGATGAGCGCCACAACCCCAGAGTCGGCCACGACTGGATGTAATAGTCAGGGGTCCTTTACCTTTCAGGTGAAATGAATGCTTTTTGCGAGTCTAAAGTAGAAAGTGCCCTTCCATTACAATCCTAATGCAGCCAGGCTGAACAGAGCTTGCGAGGCAACTGCCTTGGGCAGGAAAAATGCTCACACACCCCTTACTTTTCTGTGTGTAGATCATGTTTTACAGTGGTACCTAGGATTAAGAACTTAATTTGTTCCGTTGGTCCGTTCTTAACCTGAAACTGTTCTTAACCTGAGGTACCACTTTAGCTAATGGGGCCTCCCGCTGCCACCGCACCGCCACCGCATGATTTCTGTTCTCATCCTGAAGCAAAGTTCTTAACCTGAGGTACTATTTCTGGGTTAGCGGAGTCTGTAACCTGAAGCGTCTGTAACCTGAAGTGTAACCTGGGGTACCACTGTATCTGTAAAATGACTCAGCCTTAGTATTTAAAACACATTCAAAGTTCTGAAGGGATCATAGAATCATAGAATTGTGGAAGGGATCCCAAGGATCATCTAGTTCAGCTGATTCTCTTCCTCAGCTTCCCGCCCCTCCATCGTCCCTCCAGAATTTCTTTCTCACATATTAGGTTGTGTGGCTCGTGGCAGGCCAGGCCCTGTGGTAAGTGCCCACTCTTGCGGTGTGGCGCCCCCTCTTCCCCCCTAACTATGCCTCTGAGGCTGAGAGCCTCCATAGTGCCCTTCTGGAGGCTTCACCCAGGGCAGAAACCCTAGCTAGGTTCTGCTTCACCCAGGGCAGAAACACCCCACCCCATCCCAGCTACGGCTCTGCAGAATGAGCCATGGTGTTTTCCCATTTGGATGTTTTTCCAGGAGAAAGTTGACAGAAAAAGCATTTCTCCCTATTTCTTAACACTGGAATTTGGGGACATCCAATGAAATGGAATGTTGGAAGATTCAGGACAGATCAAAGGAAGGACTTCTTTATGCAGTGCAGTGTTGAACTGTGAAACTTGCTTCCACAGGAGGCAATGATGGCCGCTAACTTGGATGGCTTGAAAAGAGCATTGGAAAAATACATGGAGGAGAGGAACTCTTTTTAATAGCTTCTAGATATCATGGTAAGTGTGTGTGTGTGTGTGTGTGTGTGTGCCCCTCCGACCAGCAACCACTGCCAAATAAAGCTGACTAGTGCGCCTGTTCCTTTAAGTTTTAAATAGCATACAGTCATACCTCATGTTACGTCTGCTTCATGTTATGTTCTTTCAGGTTACGTCCCGCAGCGACTCGGAAGTACCGGAAAGGGTTACTTCCGGGTTTCGCCACTTGCGCATGCGCAGAAGCGCAAAATGACGTCACACGCATGCGCAGAAGCGGCGAATCGCAACCTGTGCGTGCGCAGATGTGCCGCTGCGGGTTGCGCTCTTTTCATGTTGCGAACGGGCCTCCAGAACAGATCCCGTTCGCAACCAGAGGTACCGCTGTATAATGGGTAGAGGGTGAATCAGGACCACAACCCAGGAGTGGCTAAAGCATTTCTCCTCCTGCTGATTCCCCAAAGAAAATTGATCTCCTGAGGCTATTCCTGGACACAGCACCCCCCCTCCACTGCACCCAGTCCAAAAGCCCCTCCCCCAGACCTCTTATTTACATTTTTAATCTGAGACACCTTAGTTGCAAGTACTGTACGCAATTAACTTCATGTGCAGATTTGCCCTTTACAAGGAGCTACAAGCCCAGTGATAAGGTTCAATCAATCTATCAGTTTATTACAGTCATAGACCAGCAATGATGAGATTCCTGACACCGCAGCTCTACAGTCCTGAGGTTGCATGTTTTCTTTCCTGGCTGATTTATGTAGCAGTGGCCTGGTCCACGCTTCTGTCACTGGAGAAGCATGACTAAGGAAATACTGTATTGTAAACACAGTGAGAGGGATGTCAAGGGCATCCCTCTCACTGTGTTTAAAACTCACTGTGGATGGCAATGTGACTTAGAATCATAAAATTGGAAGGTACCACCAAAGGTCATCCAGGCCAACCCCCTGCAGGAATCACAGGGAAAATCCATCACAGATGGCCAGCCTGTAAAAGATATACATTTAATGTGCATGAAGTGCTCTGTTTGTGTGCATTGTGTATGAAACTTAGTGCAGCTTTGTACTTGCAGAATGTCTGGGTTTTTTTAAAAAAATAATTTTTATTAAGGTTTCAATCAAAAATTAAACAACAACAACGAAAAAGAAACATAAAAAAGATACACAAATACATAATACAAATCTCAGAATTTTTTTTTAAAAAAACACAAAAAGCAAGAATCAACAGTAAAAAGACAAAAAAACCCAAAACATAACAATTAAAAACAATATCTCTTTTCCATTTCTGTTTTGAGTTTACTTATTTTCTGGACTTCCTCATACCTCCCTCTTTTGTATTCCAATTCAAATTGTTTGTCCAGCAATTTCTTTTCCACTTTTTTAATCCCAATCTTTAATTTTAATATAATATGTAACTTCAACTTCTTTAAACCTAATCTTTGATCTTAATGTAATATAATCTTGAAATTTTACCTCTTAATTACCAAATTTCCATTTCCTTAAACATCTTTAATCCTAATCCTTAATCTTAGTCTATCATTAACTTTAACCTGTACAGCTGGAAACCACTTATTTTCAGTCCAACATCACTCTAACATTCTTTAATTTTGCAATGTTTCTGAAGATAATCTTTGAATTTCTTCCAATCTTCCTCCACCAACTCTTCTCCCTGGTCACGGATTCTGCCAGTCATTTCCGCCAGTTCCATATAGTCCATCAGTTTTGTTGTGTATTGAGTCAAAGGATTTTATATCTGTCTAAAGTAACTGCCTTTTGGTTCCAGAGGGTACAGCTACTATTGGTTCATTTAAGCTGCTGTATTTGGATCCTCTGTCTTATTGGTTCCCTCCAAAAGGCAGGACTGTGATTGCCTGATATTGTTCCCTCCAAAATGTATCCTTTCTTGCTAGTTCCCTGTCCCTATAAATGTAGCTTTCCTCTTCCCAGTCTGCAGTCTTGTTGCTTTAATAAAGAAGTGTTACTAGAGAACTGTCTCCAGCATGTTATATCAGGAGAGCTGAAATCACAAACCCCACGTCACAACAACTGGCGATGAGGATGGGATCCGGAATGCTGAGGAGCGGTTAAACGCAGCCCTGCCTCAGAGTCCGGATTGCAGCTAAGAACAAGACTCACTGACCAGCTGAGAAGACGACCCTGCCACAGGACAATGGAGAGTCCAAGGGTATTGGAGCCCTTCCAGCCATCAGAGCCCGACACGTGGGAAGACTACGTCGAACGCTTCGAGTTCTTCGCAGAGGCTCAAGGGATCACCGATGCCAGCAAAAGAAGGGCCACATTCCTGAGCTACTGTGGGCCTGAGACCTTCAAGCTGGCCAAGGCATTGCTTGCTCCAGCGAAGCTAAGTGAGACATCTCTCAAAGATATTCTTGCCTGCCTAACAAGCCACTTGGCGCCTACTGAGACCAAGATGGCTCCGCGGATGGAGTTTCATAAGAGGCAGCAGCATGCTGGGAGTCTGTATCTGCATTTCTGGCTGAACTGCGGAAGCTCGCTCAGCACTGCGACTTCCAAAATCTGGAAGAGACTCTCCTGGATCGGTTTATCGGTGGTCTGAGCAGCAAGAAGGCCAGAAGACGCATCGTGGCTAAAGAAGAGGTTACCCTTGCTTCAGCCTTGAAGGAGGCCACCGCCACGGAGAATTATGAAAGAGAGGAGCTTGATGCCAGTCGCAAGGCCCCTAAGCCACAGATAGAAGTTGCGCATGCCATGGACGAGCTAGAGGCTACTCCGAGCCAGAGCCCAGTCCGTGGGGGTCGAGTCAGTGAGTCAGGCCTGCACAGTGCACAAAGATCACCGAGGCAGGTGCCCAGGTTGTGGCGGAAACCATGAGCGGAAGAGTTGTCGTTTCCGGGATGCTATGTGCCGGACGTGCGGGAAGACAGGTCACATCGCCAGAGTCTGTAGATCGGCGGCGTTGGGAGCGACAGGAGCACCTAGACCGGAGCATCGCAGACCGCCCGCAGCAACCCATTTTCTAAAGGACTGCCACTACGTTACGGAGATCAACGGGAGGGTCGGGAGGGTCGTGCAGTTCCCAGCACAAGGCAAGGCACACGTCAAGGTGAAGATTGAGGGTCAGCAGTGCGACATGGAGGTGGACTCCGGATCTGGATTCACTATCGTGTCGGACCAGACCCCGAGGACATTCTTCCCCAGGGGTAAGTTGCCCCTCTGGAACCCTTCCCGGCAACCTTGCAGTCATACTCAGCGGGCCGCATCCATGTTATGGGAATGTGTGCCGTGAGAGTACAGTTCCGGGACAAACAGGCTGTACTCAAACTGGTGATTGCGAAGGGCAGTCGCCCCAGTCTCCTGGGCACTGACTGGTTCCCCGCCCTGAGATGAGCGAGGCATTATGCAAAGAATTTGCTGGTCTCTTTAATGGAAAACTGGGTTGTTATAAAGGGCCCTCAGTTGACTCTCGAGTTGGACCCTGGGGTGGCCCCAATCCGACTCAAACCAAGGCGAGTGGCCATTTGCACTGCAACCCAAGATCGAAGCAGAGCTGGATAAATTGGTCAAGCAGGAGTTCTCTCACCCGTGGACTCTGCTAAGTGGGAGACTCCAATCGTCACGCCCTTAAAGCAAATGGGGAAGTCAGGATCTGTGCAGATTACAAATGTACTATCAATAAGGCACTCAGGGAAAACTCATACCCCATTCCAGTCGTATCACATCTGTTGGCTAAACTGGCTGGGGGCAAGGTGTTCGCCAAAATTGACCTGGCACAAGCTTACCAACAGCTGCCAGTAACCCCACAATCAGCGGAAGCACAGACTATTGTCACACATAAAGGGGCGTTCAGAGTTAACAGATTACAATTTGGAGTTTGTGTGGCCCCAGGGATTTTTCAAGGGCTCATGGAACACCTGTTAAGAGGTCTGCTGGGGGTCTTGCCATTTTTTGATGACGTTTTGATTGCTGGAAAAGACCCACAGGAACTGGTTGCGCGTGTTCGTGCAGTGTTGCTCAAGTTCAAGGAAGTGGGGTTGCAACTGAAAAGGAAAAATGCAGTTTTGGGGTGCCAACTGTGGATTTCTTGGGGTTTAAAATTGATGCATCAGGCATCCACCCCACAGATGCTAAGATTAAGGCCATCATCGAGGCGCCACGACCACAGAACAAGACGGAGTTGCAGTCATTCCTGGGACTTATTAACTTTATCATCTGCTCTTACCCCAGAAAGCTTCGGTAGCTGAACCATTACATAGACTGTTGCAGAAAAAGACTGTGTGGCGATGGGGGCAGGGGCAGCAGAAGGCTTTTGACTCTTGCGAGGAATGCTGAGTAGCAGGAGTGTCCTTGCTCATTATGACGAGTCAAAGCCTCTGGTCCTGGCATGTGATGCCTCTCAATACGGCCTGGGGCGGTGCTAAGTCATAGGGAACCGGATGGGTCGGAAGAGCCCATCTCTTTCTATTCCCGTGACGCTGTCGCCCACGGAGCGCAACTATGCTCAAATTGACAAAGAGGCGCTTGCAATTGTGGCAGGAATCAAAAGTTCCATGATTATGTGTACGGTCGCCATTTCTACATTGAAACGGACCACAAGCCACTGTTAGGGTTGTTCAACCCGAACAAACAAACGCCACAAATTCTCTCCCCAGAATGTTACGTGGGTCGAAATTCCTGAACGGGTTCCAGTACACCTTGACCCATGTGCCGGGAACCGGGTGTGCCACGCGGATGCGCTGAGTCGATTGCCCCTTCCTGGCGGGAGCACTGAGGATCCTGCTCCAGCGGAGCACATAATGATGCGGGACACACTTCCGGGGCTCCTGTAACGGCTACTGATATAGCTGAGAAAACGAGGAAAGATGCTGTTCTCTCCCGTGTGCTCACTCTGGGTGGGGAGGGGTGGCCAGGTGGTCCGCATGAAGACAAATTCAGGCCTTATGCGACTAGGCAGCACGAGTTGTCCATGCATAAGGGTTGTCTCCTGTGGGGAGATAGGGTCATCATCCCAGCACCACTGAGAAACAGGGTTCTTGAGGACGCTTCACATGGGACACCTGGGAATGGTCAGGATGAAGTCGCTAGCCCGATGTTATGTGTGGTGGCCTGGAATGGACCAGAACATAGAACAATGGGTCACGAACATGCAAGGCATGCCAAGAGGTGCGGCCAGAAGTGGCCAGAGCACCAGTCCACTGGTGGGAGCAGTCCAGATCTCCCTGGAGCCGGCTGCACTTAGATTTTGCTGGGCCATTCCAAGGAAAGGTCTTTTTGGTTATCGTTGATGCATATTCCAAATGGTTAGAAGTGGCGATGGTCCCTAGCATGGCATCAGCTGCCGTCATCAAGGTGTTGAGGCAGCTGTTTGCAACCCACGGGTTACCTGAGACCATTGTATCAGATAATGGGGCAGCTTTTGTATCCCAAGAATTCAGGGCATTCTTGGCTGATAACTTCATAAGAGGGGTCACATCCGCGCCCTTTCACCCATCCTCCAATGGGCAGGCTGAGCGCATGGTAAGAACAGCCAAAGAATCCATTGCGCGCTTAATGGAGGGTAACTGGTCAGCTCGCATCGCGCAAATGTTATTTTTGCAGCATGCGACGCCGTGTACCACAACGGGCAAGTCGCCAGCTGAGCTGCTCTTGGGTAGGAGACTGGTAACGGTGCTGGATTATGTCCACCCGGATAAAATGCCAAACCATAATTCAAGAGCAAACCCCCAGGCTGAGACTGACACAACAAGGTATCTCGCCCCTGAAGATCTGGTCTGGGTGAGGAACTATTCACGAGGTTCGCGGTGGGTGGCTGGTGTGGTCACCCGGGCTAGTGGACCTGTGTCCTATTATGTGACCTTGGAAAATGGGCAAGTGTGGAAGAGACATATAGATCAGCTGAGGCGCCGGGCGCTCAGCAGGGAGGAGCCAGATAATTCATCCCAGGCTAATGACGCAGAGCCGCAAGACCAGAGTGAAAATGGCCCAGAGGTGCAATCACCAGGGGCTTTAACAAATGAACCAGGGTCTGCTAGTCCTCACGATGATGAGGTACAGATAGGGGACCCTGAGATGTCGGGAACTCCATCTGTTCCTGACGAAACCCCTAGAGCAGCCCCTCTACCACAGGTAACACCCAATCCAGAACCTGCAACACCTGTTGTCAGGAGATCAAGTAGAAGTTGTAGGCCCCCACAGTACCGGAGAGATCACGTCTGCTGTGCTCACTAGGGGGGAAGGGGTGTTGTGTATTGAGTCAAAGGATTTTATATCTGTCTAAAGTAACTGCCTTTTGGTTCCAGAGGGTACAGCTACTATTGGTTCATTTAAGCTGCTGTATTTGGATCCTCTGTCTTATTGGTTCCCTCCAAAAGGCAGGACTGTGATTGCCTGATATTGTTCCCTCCAAAATGTATCCTTTCTTGCTAGTTCCCTGTCCCTATAAATGTAGCTTTCCTCTCCCCAGTCTGCAGTCTTGTTGCTTTAATAAAGAAGTGTTACTAGAGAACTGTCTCCAGCATGTTATATCAGGAGAGCTGAAATCACAAACCCCACGTCACAACAACTTTCATCTGCCATTCCTCCAGTGTGGGAAGTTCTTGTGTCTTCCAATACTTTGCGATGAGTATTCTTGCTGCTGTTGTTGCATACATAAAGAAAGTTCTATCCTTTTTTAACACCATTTGGCCAACTATGCCCAGGAGAAAGGCCTCTGGTTTCTTAGGGAAGGTATATTTAAATACCTTTTTTAATTCATTATATATCATTTCCCAGAAAGCCTTAATCTTTGGGCACGTCCACCAAAGGTGAACAAATGTACCTTCAGTTTCTTTCCATTTCCAACATTTATTATCGGGAAAATGATAGATTTTTGCAAGATTGACTGGGGTTATGTACCACCTGTAAATCATTTTCATAATATTCTTCTTAAGGCATTACATGCCGTAAATTTCATACCTGTGGTCCACAACTGTTCCCAGTCAGCAAAACATAATGTTATGTCCAACGTCCTGTGCCCATTTAATCATAGCCGATTTTACCGTTTCATCCTGAGTATTCCATTTCAGCAGCAAGTTATACATTCTTGACAAATTCTTAGTTTTGGGTTCTAACAATTCTGTTTCTAATTTTTATCTTTCCACCTGGAAGCCAATTTTCTTGTCCAATTTAAATACCTCCATTATCTGATAATAATGAAGCCAGTCTCGCACTTTGTTTTTTAATTTTTCAAAACTCTGCAATTTCAGTCTATCTCCATCTTGTTCCAAAATTTCCCAATATTTCGGCCATTTGACCTCCATATTGACCTTTCTCAAGGCTTTCGCTTCCATTGGTGACAGCCACCTTGGGGTTTTGTTTTCTAGCAAATCCTTATATCTTATCCAAACGTTAAATAGCTCTTTCCTGACAATATGGTTTCTAAATGCTTTATGTGCTTTGACCTTATCATACCACAAATATGCATGCCATCCATGCAGAATGTCTGTTTTGCAGGGAGCTGTATCAAGTGCAAAGGAAGTGGAGAAAGATGCTTGTGGAGCTTAAAGCTGTAACAAGAGTGGGATATTTGTTTCTGTGCTACTGATGTTAAATTGATGGCTTATCCCTGGTAGTCGAAAGCAGAAACATTTATATCAACAATTACATCTGTGGGTGGCTAAAAACTTGATGACTTAAAGAAGAAACATGAATCCCTTTGAATATACTTGGTAGTGAAAGATTCTGAGTGTTTCTTATCTTTTCTTTTTATATTTCATTCTCATTCCCGTACTTCTACCTGCTAACTTACTCTGATAAAGACTCTGGGCATATTGCCAGTACAAGAGGTTTGGGCACTCTTCCAGCATGTATATCAATCTACCACAATTCTGTTTTAATGAATTATTTTCATGGTTTTAATAGATTTTTATGTGTATACATTCAGTTTTAATTATACAGATGTCTAATTGTTTTTTTAATTATTCCCCTCCCCCACATTTTTAGCTTTCTTATTTTTATCTGTAAGCCCTGTCAGGGAAAAAGGTGGGGTATGTATGAATAAATAAATAAATAAATAAATAAATAAATAAGAAAATAAATAAATGTTCTGTTTCCAGTCTGAAAGCTTGTTTTCATGCTTCCTTGCAATGTGACATTTTCCAAAAGTCCCTTGTATTTATACACCCCAATTGTGGCATCACTTCCTGGGTGTGCGATGCTGGTACAGTGCCCACATTTAAAGAGGAACACATCAGAATTGTAAAAATAAACCTGGCTGCCCTTGTTCACTAGGCATGATCCCAGGGAGGGAGAAAATCAAGAGTGGAAGCTGTTCTGGCATCGTCCTTCCTGAGGGTTAAAAAGTAAACTCAGAAGTGCAGGATACAGAGGACTCGCTGTTTGTAGCTCAGCTTCTGGAAGGGATTCCGTGCAAATGAGTAAACACCTCTTTCTGTAGCCTGTTTTAAGCAACCACACATGGAATGGAATAGCTTGCTGATGCTGGAACTTGGAACATAGCAGGGAGCTTTGCTGTAACACACCAACCTTGCCATTGGTCCATCTTGCTTCATAGGTCTCCTCCCCTGATTACGGCAATAGCCCATGAGGATTTCAGGCAGGTGGTATTCTCAGCCCTGCCTGGAGATGCTGCCGGGGCGGAACCTGGGACCTTCTGCATGCAAAGCAGGTGTTCTGCCCCTGAGCTACATAGGCCCTTTCCCAGGCCCACTGAGATTGCTCTCAAGGGAAGGATGGCAGCATACAACACGCAGACCTCCTCCTAGCCTCGGAGTTGCAGGAGATCGCCAGGGCAACCCCATCTCTGCTGCACCTAGGTTGGCAGGAGGGCTGGGTGCCAGAGGGCAGTGGTGTCACTTGGACTGTCGCGAGTGCAGATGCAGAAGGCTGGTGGTGACAATGATTTGCCCCTGCTGGATCAGGCCCTCTTACTCCAGTGTGTCATTCATCGGCAGAGCCTGGGGCCAGGCAGCAAAGCCATAGGGGTGTCTTTGCTAGTGGAGCCATGGGAGGGGTTGATTGCCAATCACCCACAACGCCTTGGGCCAAGTGCCCCCATGCCCTTCAGCTCATCCTCCTCCCTTTCCACAAGACTGCAGCAAGCACATCGTTGTGAAGATCCCTGCTCTTGCCAGGCCTCGTCTGCTGATCTGGATTTGTCCAGGAGCCCAATGGGCAGATGACACTGGCAAAGGCAGTCCTGATGGCTTGGTGGGCTTGGCACCTTCCCCGTCCTCCCCCCCCCCCGCTTCTGAGAAGGAGGAGCGTAGGCATCTACTCTGCCCTTGGCATTGGACAGAAGTCCCCCCCTCCGGGGACAGGGGGCGGCAGTGAGAAGAGCTTAGCTGAAAATCTGATTAAAGCAGGAGTTTGAGGGCACTTCCTCTACTTTCCTTTTTTAACTCCAGCCCTTAAACTTTCTTCTTCGCCTCGGAGAGGGGAATGGCAAGCATTTGGATTAAGGGATTGCAGGGCTGTCTGCTTTAATTACAGCTGCCACCCGTGACTCTGGCGTCCTCTGCTGAACTCTTGCACAGAGTAGAAGGAAAAGGCCAGGTTTCCAAGGGTAAGTTAATGTGTGAGCCCGTTTCCTTGGTGCACCCATGTCTCCAGGCCCAGGGCTTACACATGACCAGGGGCACGGGAGCAGCTTTTCAACCGTGTATCGAGCATAACTGTCAAGTCCTTTCCCCGGGGGAGCTTAAAGCCGCCTTCTCTCTTGTTCAGGTGAGCTGAGCAAAGAGGCTCGAGGAGGCTGGTTCAATGGCGTAGCGTGGGTTGTCAGCACCCGGGGCAAGGCAAGTAATTTGCGCCCCCTAACCCGTGGATTTTAGTAGGGGCAGAGAGCTGCGAGTGCGAGCGCCCCCCCCCAGATGTTGCGCCCGGTGCGGCCGGCCCCCCCTACACCCCCCACGCTACGCCACTGGGCTGGATGGTCAGGATTTGTACCAGGGTGTGCAGGAGATCACAGCCCTCCAGGGTCAAGCCTGGAAGTCCCCCAGAAACTCTGAAGTTGAGAGCAGGGAAGTCCAGAGGGAAGGGAAGAAGGAAGGCGGCTTCTCTGCTCCAATGCTACTCACTCTTTGTCCTCCTGTCAACTCACACCCAGTCACCAAATTCTAAGCACAACAAACACACACCCATTATCAAAGATGGTGAAGTTTCCTCCTTTGCTGCTGTCCAGACCCCCTGAAGCTTGAGAGTCTGCGGAAGCTGTGTCTGCCCAGCTCCTGTCAAAGCTGCCCACCTGGACCACCTTGTGCTGTTCTGTGCACTTTTGTCTCTACTGTTGCTCTTTGTGGGCCTTACCTCTTCTGCCTCTTCTGTCCCACTTCTGCCTGCAGGTAAGCAGGCCCCCACGGTGCCCCACCAGCGAAAATAGGCAATTTGGTACCAAATGCGCATCTCTCATTGCCCTCACCTCGACCAGCTCTTTTAACACATTCTTGGTGGAGAGAAATAAGGGCAAACTGAAGTGTGAAATATGCTTTATGAACAGCCTCCAGTAGCTGAAAGTGGGGTGGGGTGGGGGAGCTTTTTGCTAGGAGCTTCCTGATAAAAACAGCATCTTCCTGTCCCAGCTTTTGGGGAGCTGCAGTACCTGAGTCTCTCCACTGGGTGGCACCCTATGCCCACATTGGCTGCAAGAGCTTTTCAGGTGAAAATGTGTGTGTGGTTTTCAATGGTGCCTTAAATGAGGTTCTCTCTCTCCCTGCTCCCCACATCTCCACCCCACTGCTACCCAAACTCTCACACTACCCACCATTACTCCTTCTTCCATATCCTGGCAGGGTCTGGTTCTTGCTTTTCTCTGGAGAAACAGCAGCCAGCTTGACCAAGGGATCAGGGATGCTTGCTTCTGCTTCTGCTGCAACATCTGGAGGGTTATTGTGTTGCAGTAAGAAGAAACAAAGCAATCTGAAGCTGATGTTCAGCAGGGTTTGTAGGCAGAGGAAGGGCTAGTGTTGCCTTCCCAGAGTGAGATGCAATTACAGGGTGCTCAGGTAGCAGGCCACAGAGACGCCCCCCCCCCCCATGCCCTGACACATGCATCTTTCAGGGAACCCCCAACTTTGTGCTGTTTGGCCCAGCTCTGCCCTGAGAGCTAAGAGTTGCACACAGTCTGAACTCCTGGAATTAAACTGAAAGCTTTGTGGACACTCTGTAGGTCAAGCCGACAACTCCCGCCCTCCTTGACCATGCTGGCTGATGGGGGCTGGAGTGCCCCTAAAGCGCCTTGTCTTCCAGAGAGGCACAGCCCCTGCTCCCCACAACTGGTGGGGCTGATGCAGCCCATCCCGAGTGCGTGTTCAGCATGGCCCATGTGTGCTTCCTCCTCCTCCTCCTCCAGAGAGAGAAGGGGTTGTCTCAACTAAAGATAAGGGCCTGCTACTCTTTTCTGATCGGAGGCATCACTGCCCATTTAATGACACTCAATGACGTCTGATTTCCCAGATAAAAACGTATTTGTTTATAACGGGGCTCAGGGATCAAAGCTCAGGGATCAAAGCAGAGCTGTGTTGGCTTTTGCCCTTCCTGTTGCTGGGGAGGGGAAGAGAAGGTGCCCCCTCTCACTCAGGGATCCTTTGGTTGTGTTCCCTTGAACAGTGGCAACGTGGTTGGAGCCACCCTAGGCAGCAGCTGCTTGGACTCTGCTCCTTGCTTGGAGCGGAGTGGGGAACGTGTAGAAGACCCAGAAGAGAGATGTTTAACTTGTCTGGTGTGCCACCTTGGGATTCTCCTGGATCCTCAACTGTTCCTGCAATCCCAGACAATGACCCCCATTCCAGACACTCCAGGCCAGTCTAGTGCAAAGTTCCTTGATGGAAGGGAGAGCAGGGAAGGAGAGCAGAGCAGAGCAGAGAGAGAGAGAGATCAAGAGAGAGAGAGATCTAAAAGGCTATTCTTAGCTTAGCAGCCCAGGTGGGTGAATGTCGCCAGGTAGCTTTTGCCGCTGCCCCCTTCCTTCCACCCACCCCACCTCTTATGAGATGTTTCTGCTCTTCCACTTCATTGATCACAGCCCCTCTCTCAGCACCATCCTGTTCCCTTTTGGCATGGCTAATATTTGGCTCCAGGGACTCCAGCCAAAACACTCTGATGGGCTGATGCTGTCTATTTCCCAAAGTGGAGGGGGTGACGGTGGGCCAGAAAACAGCCCTTTCCCTCTCAGAGAGACACTCTCAGGAAGTGACCAGGGCCTTCTTGGACTCTGTTATCAGCCTGGCTCCAAGGAGGACTTGGGTGGCTAAGAGAGCACTGAGCACCACCCAGTCTTTCCCTGTGCTTGTTTTTCGCCTTCTGCTCAGGCTTGGAGTGATCCTGACTGGTGCCCAGGACTTGTCACACAAGAGCACATTCCCATCATTGCAGAGGAATGGTGAAGCCTCCAGAGCACCAGTGATGCTGCTGCATGTGGGGGACCTTCCCACTGGCTGGAATATTTACATAGAATCATAGTTGTAAGGGACCCTGAGGATAATCTAGAGGATCATCTTTCCTGCTTTCTCAGAAAGTCAGAAAGGGCTGTAGCTTCTTGGCAAGCGTGAACCACTGCTGCCTGTCATTTCAGGCCACCCTGAGTTAGTTGGCCTGTTGGTCTGACTCAGGAGAAGGCAGCTCCCTTCCCACTTCTGCCTGCAAAGGAATCTGACCTCAGCACAAGCCATGGGGCAGCCTTCTCCATACAGCACCTGAAGGTAGCAGGCCAGCGCTCAGGGTGAAGGCCAGGCAGGGTGGCACCTGCAGCTGCACCTGCTCAATTCCCATCAGCACCTGCCACTTCAGTCTGCCTGATGGGAGGGGTGGCCCTTTGTTGTAAGGGAGACAGAGGAGGGATGTCTTCCATGCCTTACACTCCCTAAGGGAGCATCTTGGCCACTGTTGTCTCTGCTTCAGGCAACATGGGCCACAAAGCCCCCTGGAGCCAGCTTTCAAGTCCCTGCTTAGCCATGGAACTCGCGGGGGGGGGGCACCTTAGTCCCATCACTCTCTGAAATATACTCAGAGTCGCAAAGTGATTTCATGCTCTTTATTCAGCTCATAGTGGTGAGGAGGAATGAATAGAAGTCCCCTCACAGTATCTGCTTTATATACTTTATTTACACAATGGGCTGCACATGATTGGCTAATTCCGGAATTCTACTGTAAGCCAATCAGGTTGTGGATTCACTTCTATCTGGAGCAGGATTGGGTGGTTCCTGCCAACCAATCATACTGCTGCATTGTTCTAGGACCAATCAGACTGCTGCATTCTGAATCCTATTGTTCTAGGACCAATCAGACTGCTGCATTTTGGATCCTATTGTTCTAGGACCAATCAGACTGCTGCAGTTTGGATCCTATTGTTCTAGGACCAATCAGACTGCTGCATTTTGGATCCTATTGTTCTAGGACCAATCAGACTGCTGCATTCTGAATCCTATTGTTCTAGGACCAATCAGACTGCTGCATTTTGGATCCTATTGTTCTAGGACCAATCAGACTGCTGCAGTTTGGATGCTATTCAACTCAGTACATAACACTCTCTTTCTTGTGAGACTGAAACACAAGCAATGAACATAAGAACGTAAGAAGAGCCTGCTTATCAGGCCAACGGCCCATTGGAGCACAGGAGCCCTCTCCCCTCCTGTGGTTTCCAGCAACTGGAATTCAGAAGCATTACTTGTCCCATCCTCTTAAAGTAAGGTTATCAGATTTTTTCAATGAATCCAGGGACACTTTTCAACTTCAATGGATTTTGTATGGGGACTGATTTGTAAATCTGTGGACTGTCCCCAGGAAATGGGGATGTCTGGTAACCTTATTTTAAAGCCATCCACACTGATGACCCTCACTGCCTCCTGTGGGAGGCAGTTCCATAGGTTAACTAAGAAGGACTTTCTTTTCTCTGTCTTGCATCTTCCAGCACTCAGCTTCCCTGGAGGCCAACCAGTCCTAGTGTTAGGATATAGGAAGAGGTCAAGGGCAGCAAGTGACCCACCAACAACCACTTTCAAGCTGTCTCCCCTCTTGCCTCTTCCGGGAGCAGTGGAGGGGGAGGTCCCAGTCTTGCATAGGTCTATGCATTGGGGCAGGGCCTCGCCCTCTGCCCCAGTGGGATTCAAGCACCTTGGTCTCTGTTTACTCTGTTATGCCCCTATTATCTGGGGCATTCCGGAGGCAGCTTTGACTGTTATCAAGGTTGGTGCGGGAGTCATGGCAGTGAACTTCATGCCCCCTCACCTCCTTGCGTTATTTTATGGTTGGGAATCTTTGAAATCTGCCGACTCCTTCTGTGTGTCATTAGGAAGCCTGGAAGGGAGAGGCCTTTGGGAAGTGGCTGGCTGCCTGGCATAGAGGGGTCACACAGTTCATGGCAGTGCCAGGCAATTGTTGCAAACTGCCTGCCCCCCGCCTGCTTCCTTTTGCAGCCAGTGTGCACAATGGTTCATAAAAAGCAATGAATTTAAGTAGAATACTAGTAGCCGCAACAGATAATACCAGCGCAATGCAACATTTGATAGTTTGCCAATTAGCAGTTCATTGTAAAGCATATCATACATTCAAAGCACATGGCTTTCCCCCAAAGAATTCAGGGAACTGTGATGTACTGCTCAGTGCTGCAATTCCCAGCACCCTGAACAAACCACAGTTCCCAGAATTCTCTGGGGGGAAGCTGTTTGCTTTAAGTGTATGGCACATGCACCATCCGCTGCACTTCTTGACAAGTCTGACCACCGTTAAGTTTACTGATGATTTTAACTGCTGCTTTAGACCTTGGCAAGGCTTATTACTAAATGCCAGAGGCATAAGCTAGAGGCTGGCGAAACTGGCAACTGGTGGTGGTGGTGGTGGGAAACGCAGACCCAAAAATCACCGTTGGAGATTGACTGAGAGAGATCCTGCAACAACTGGCAGGAGAGGAGAGGAGGGAAAGCGCTTTCAGGATATGAGTCTATCCTGCTGGGAGATCTGAAAGTAAACCCTATTAAACTCCATGGGGCTTCTTTCTGAGTAGGCTTGCAGAGGATTGCGTTGTTGGCATTGCTGATGCAACGCTTTACAAGCCTTGCCCAATATATAGGTTGAGGTGCACAGGGGCGGGTTGTTACTTTGCAAGTATTTTGGACTGATGCTCACTGGAAAACTTGCTTTCAGAAAATAAACCGCACCCCAAAATAGTTCAGTTAGCAAAGGACTCTGCTTGTGCGCCAGTCTACAAGGCTTGCCAGATTTTCAAGTACTTGGGCCACCTAAACTGTAGTAATTTCTAATGCGGCTACTGTGGTAAAGGTCCCCCCCCCCCGATGGGGGGCACCGATACCCCTCTTTGCCAAGGACGCAAAGGACTCCAGGAACACCTCTGCCCGTTAGTGTAGGCAGTACTAAGTCTGATGTACTAAGAGTTTGACATTCCCTGTCCCAGGTGGCAGGGGTGGGGGTGGAATGCAATGAGCTCTGGCATAGGTGCCAACTCCATGGGGCCTTGGTCCATTTGGCTCCCCAATAAAATATTTAGGGATGCTGACCCTCAGTATTTTCTGCAAATTGATGCCTCCCTCCCTCCCTCCCTTGGGCAGCCACCTCCCCTCCCCCCAGCAAGCCACTGCCCTCTTTTCCTGGCTTGTCCTCCTCCAATATTTTGTTCAAATTGGCACCTATGAGCTCTGAGCAGCTGGCTAGCCTTTCACCCATGCTCTTCCTTGGGAGATTCCAGGAGGTCCCAGGAGGCTTGGTTTTCATGCACCTCCCTACCAAATTGGGCCCTGAATGTGTGTGTGTTCAGTTCTGAACTCTACCCCCTCCTGCCGCCACCCAAAGACTCAAGTCCCCCCTGGGCCCCCCTTCGTGCCCTGGTTTTTGCTTCCTCCTCTTGCCCCATTGATTCAGTGCTGCCTGTCTTGACACTGATGCTTCTTTGAAGCCAACAGACCAGGGCTCTCTGGCCCAACCACAAGGACTGGCACTTTTGCTGCCCCAAATCAGAAGCACCCAATCAGCTAGTCTCTCTCCTGTCAGGTTCTTTATTGTGGAGCCAGCCCCTCTGCCAAGGCCACACTGCACCCACCCGCGGATGAGAGGCACAGCTCTTCAAAGGCAGAAGCCAAATGGACACCATGAGATCTTGCTATGAGCACGCTGTGATCCTCTTCAAAATACTCCAACAAGGGAGACATTCTTCCCACTTCATGGGCAGCCTGGTCTAGCCACGATGGGCTGTGATATGTGTCGGAGAACAGCTGCTAAGCACTGCAAGGGTAGCCTCAGCCCCATACACTGTGTGACCTGGTATTTGGTTTTCTGTTGCGCCATCATTAGTCCCGGGTGAACTTCCCCTGGTTCCTGAAGTCAGCAGCCATGCAGGTCCCAAGAGGCACAACATTTCCCTCCCCCACAACTTTCCAAGTTCCCTAGGTATCCCTCAGGTACAGTGTCCTCTGCAGGGGCATCCAAGACCCCACAGATCCACATACATTTGGGAGACGGCCACTGAGTTTTTGGCAGGTGCCATACCCATGTCTTCATTTGCTCTACGTTCAGCACCAGCAACTTGATGCTTCAGAGATGTGGACTATGGACACCTTGCTTGGTTCTTCAGGGTACAGAGAGGCTTTTCCCAAAGAAGATTCAGCTCTGAGTTCCTCAAAGAGGCTGCAGCTATCAGGCCGTTTGCAAGCTGCACCCATGAGAAGTGCCTCTGGTGAGTTTGGGAGGAAATAGGTCCTTAAGAAAGAAGCTGTGTCCAGGGAAGAACAGCAAGGGTGGGAAAGATGAGCCCAACTGCCTGCCTCCTTACCTGGCTGGTCCATCCAAGCGGGCAACAGGATCCTTGCCCAGGGGCTCCCAGGAAGGTGTGCAGCACCCCAGCACCCTTAGACGTAACCTGTCAGGTTATAAGCGTTGAACTCACTCTTAGCCTTTGGAGAGGCGGCTGGCACTGGTTGGCTCCTGGCCACCATGGTTCGAGAACGGTAAGGGCTGTAATAGGCAGCATGTGGGTCTCGGGGTGGGCAAGAAGCGCAGAGGATGAAGCCCCCAATGATAGACACCAGGGAGGAGAGGACACCCAGGTACAGGGACTCCCCAAGCTCAAACTTCATGCTGTCAGGAACGATGGGGTTGTAGAAGTCACGGAGCACCACGTGGATGTTCCACACCACAGGGATGAAGCAGAGGAGCCCCCCAAGGACAAAGGCTACCCCACCTGCCACCGCCACCTTGTCCTTGGCCGGGGAGCCTTGCGAGAAGATGGTGCACCTCATCCCCACCACGCAGATGATGGAGGCCAGCAAGGAGACAGCGATGGAGGAGGACATCATCGCCTGGGCTGCCTGGATGTCAGTGGGCAGGTTGAGCAGTGAGCTATAGACGTCACACTGAGTGATGCCTGTGCTGTAAGTGGCGCACTCCATCCAGAGGCCTTTGGAGAAGCCGACCGCCGTGACGATGCTGGAGCCGATGTAGGAGCTGGTCCTCCAGCTGGGCAGCAGGGTGGCCACGAAGGCACACAGCAAGCCCAAGAGCCCCAGGGCATAGCCCACCAGCTGGAGGCCCACAGAGACCATTTCGTCTCCCTCTCTTGCTGGGAGCTGCCTTTTCTGTGCCTGCCTGGCCTTTGGTGAGAGGCTGGCGTTGGCTGCTGTCTCGTCTGCTGCTGGGGCTGCCAGGAGGTCCGTGTCTGCTGGTCTTCTTGTGGGGGAGAAAATGTTATCTAGGAGGGAGGGAGGGAGGAAACCACATTTGGTTAATGATTGACTGGTAGCTTCTGAGAAATGCCAAACGCCCTTTTGATCCCTGTTATTGGTAGAAATCACATTTGGAAAACCCCAATAATACTAATAATAAGCAGGGTGAAGGGAGAGAGAACAGCAGCCAGCTATGATGGTTTTTAAAAGTAAGAGATGCAGATAATGGGAGAGGGGTGGGGTCTCACAGAACCCTCCCCACCCTACCATTTCTGCTTTACCCGGGCTGCTGGGTCAGCATCTGACAACAGAAGGGGGTGGGATGGGGGACAAGTGGTGGGGAAGCAGAGAATGCTAACCAGCCTGTGAGGAGGAATTGCTCCCTTCTGCGCCTGTTCAAGAAGCCCCATTTTGACACTGCTGCCTTCTTTCCCAAGAAGAGCCCTGCTGTAGCTGGATCAAGCAAAAGCGAGCCCATATAGTCCAGCATCATGTTCTGACAGTTGCCAACCAGATGCCCCAATGAGAAGCCCCTGCACAGGAGCTGAGCAGAGCAGCTTCACTCTGCTCATATGTGCTCCCCAGCAACTGGTCTCTGACACTGGAGGGAGAAGGTAGCCATTGTGGCTCGTAGCCACTGATAGTCATGTTGCCTGCTTCTCCTCACGGGAGATAAAGTTTTGTGCTCAGGTTCCAGACCTTCTTCATTTTATTTTCAGCCATTGTTGCATCAATGGAGTTTCATTAGGCAAAGGCAGTCGATTGGGGGGGGGGGGGGCAGGCGGGCTGAGGGGCTTTGCTGACTGCAGGGTGGGAGGGGGAGTTTTGCTGCTCCACTGCTGACATGTTGCCCTCCCCAAATCTGCTGTTTGCATTTCAGTGGGGTCTTCCACTTGGCACCAGTGGAGGCTTCCTAACAGCTCCGGTGGGTATGTTTAGTCCAGACCATCAGGTGAACTCAGGGAGCTCCCTAATAATGTAACTCAGACCATCCAGATTCTAGGATAGTCTTGTCTATACCAGCAGTGACCAACACCCTGCCAACCTGATGTTTTGAACTATGACTCTGATCAAGTCAGGATGGCCCAAAGGAGAGGGGAGCTGAGAATTGTAGCATCATGCTGGCAGACAGGGGTCTTTCCCAGCCCCACCTGGGGACTGAACCTGGGACCTTCTGTATACAGAGTAGCACTGGCCCCAAGGTGGCTCAGCTATTTACAGAGCAAAAAGAAATGTGCACAGCAGGTCATTGCCTTCACACAGTAAACATCATGCTTAGTTTGCTCCTGAGAACTGCAATATTGGTGGGGTTGGCATTGTATGGAACACTGTGGCAAATGCACTGTTTTCTAGGGTACCAAAACAACAGAAACATGAATTTTCATGGTGGTACGTAAGAATCTAAGAGGAGCCCTGTGAAGTCAGATGCACTAATGGGAAGTCCACAAGCAGGGCATGAGGTGTTTCTGATCATGAAGGCATACCCTCCAAGTGTCCCGATTCTCCAGGGACAGTCCTGGAATTGCAGACGCCACCCTAGTTTTTTATTTGATCCCAGAATGTTCCAGTTTTCCTTTCCCCCACCACCCCTCTACGTCACAGAGAACGAAAGTGGTGGAGTGATCTGGAACACACACACACACACACACACACACACACACACACACCATTTTTGGAAACAGGAACCCCCCCCCCCCACCGTGTGTAGGTGCAAAGCAGACTCTTGCTTATACTGAAAATAAAATACCTGCACAAAATTAAGGAAATGGTGAAGCTGGCATATGAAATCCTTCCTATAATTTTGAAGGAAAATGTAACCAATCCACTTTTAATGCTTCTGATGGATTAAAAAAAATATACGCTACTCTTAATGTAGTTTCATTAACTTTTTCTGGGCATCAGCCTCTCCCAGCACCAACCATTCTCTGAAGCCACGTTCTAGTTTGGGGCCTCACAGGGCTCCAGCTTTTGTCACAGAAATCCTCTTAGACTCCTAGCCTCCCCCGCTTCCCTCTCTCTCTCTCTCTCTCTCTCTTTCTCTTTCATGCCTACCCCCTCCCCCCCCAGCTTTCCTTGCCTGCCTCTTCAGGTCTGGGGGTTGAGCAACGGGAAAATGTCTGCAGGGCTCAGCCCCCTTGGAGCTTTGCCCTTCCTAAGGGACAGATTTATCCCTTTTTCTCCACACTTTCTCCAGGCTGCCCTGGCCTGCTACAGGTGACTCACATGATAGCTGCTTCCAGGTATCTGAAGGGTTATCAGTCATGCAGGTGACAGGTCAGCATCCTCTTTCTTCTGTTGCCCCAGAGGGCAAGGGCAGAACCAGTGGGAAGGAAATGGCAGGGGAGCAGATTTCAGCAGAATGTTTGGAGAAACTTTTTAGCACCAAGTGCTGTGCTGGGACGGAGGCTGCCTGTCTCAGAGACGCTAAGCTCTTCTTTCTGCTGCAAGCATTTTAGCAGGGCTCGTGTGGCTGCCTGACAGGGATGCTGTAGCTGCACTGAGCAGGTGGAGCGTGGAAATACATTAGATGGGCTCTAAAGGACCTTCCAACTTATAAATAAAGGTTCAAACTGCCTGGCTGGATCAGACCGGTTTCTGCCTTGTTCAGCATCCAACCATGGTGTTTTTGGGAAGCCCACAATTGGTGGGCATGAAGGCAAGCCAGTGGCTAGCCACCATGCCTAATAACCTCATCCTCCCCCTTCCCTCACCAAGTCATTGTTCTAACTCCCTTTAGGAGGCATCTGAGCCACAGCCCATCACCATGTCTCAGGGCAGCAGCCACTCTCATTGCTGGGCACCTGAGGAAGTGAGATTCTCCTCGTTGGCACAGACAGGATCCCTGTAGGCCAGAGGGTGGCCCAGGAGGAAGAGGAGAAATGAGAGCTATTTCTGGAGATTCCCTCATAGCCCCTGCCTCCAACTCACTTGAGGACTTCAGTGGAGTGAGGAATGAGGAATAAGGAAGTGGGGGGGGGTGTCGGGTCTTGGGGGAGACAGACAAGGAGGTGGGCGAGGTGGGCAACACATGGCTCTGGGAGACTTACCAAGGGAGCACCAGAGCTTCAGCCCCCAAGACGCCTGGGTGCCCACAGTCAGACATCGGCTGTGGCAGCTGAGGAAGGGTGCCTCGGTGGATGAGGGAGGAGAGGGCTGGGCCCAGAGGGTTAAGGGCTGCCTGATTGTTCACTGCTGCTTTGCCAAATCCATCTGCAAATCGTTGCCTGGGTCAGAGGCTTAGTCCAGATCAGAATTAAACCCTTTAAGGGCTATAAAAATCGAGGAGCCACAAGACCTCCCCTCCCCTTCCCATAACTTGTGTTTAGCTGCAGTGAATTTTCCTAGACTTCCTGGGGGACGGGAAAGAGGAGACATCATCTAACTTTCTTTGTGAAAAGACAGGCATGAACAGCCCATGATCAGGGGAAGGGGCCCCTCTGTTGTTGGGTTGAGTTGTTGGGTTTGAGTACAGTGCCCATAGCTGTTAAATCTCCAGGAACAGGGAGTGATGTTTGTTATTTACAGAGGGGGTTCTTGCTCTGTGCCAGTAGAGTGGGCCCAGCATTCTGGGAGGAGAATTCACAGAGGGGGAGCAATTTTCCCTGTTTTCATTCTTCTTAGGCTAGTGAAGGAGCCAAGAGATGTGCATCTTTGTTCCCAAAAGGCAGAGTCCATTTTCTTCCAGACGTGAAGGGAGGAGGGAAGCCAGAGAGAAAGAGTTGGAAAGACAGTGTTCTGTGTATCACAATGTTATGTACTGAGTTGAATAGCATCCAAACTGCAGCAGTCTGATTGGTCCTAGAACAATAGGATCCAAATTGCAGCAGTCTGATTGGTCCTAGAACAATAGGATTCAGAATGCAGCAGTCTGATTGATCCTAGAACAATGCAGCAGTATGATTGGTTGGCAGGAACCACCCAATCCTGCTCCAGATATAAGTGAATCCCTAACCTGATTGGCTTACAGTAGAATTCCAGAATTAGCCAATCATGTGCAGCCCATTGTGTAAATAATGTATATAAAGCAGATACTTTGAGGAGACTTTCATTCATTCCTCCTCACCACTATGAGCTGAATAAAGAGCATGAAATCACTTTGCGACTCTGAGTATATTTCACACAAGTTGCCACATTTGCCTCGCCAGAAATTGGCAGCCTGGCAGGGAATCTAGCAATTCTAAAGTAACAGTCAGGAACAGCTGTGGAAAGGTTGCACAAGTGTTTTCATGGTTCTTTGGCCATGGGCTGTGAACAGTTGTCTCTGGAGGTGTCTTTGAGGTTCTTTGGAGCCAGGTAGAAGTTCCACATTGTCAGTGTCAGGAAATTTGACCTGCAACTGTGTGTGCAGCCAGTGGTGTCAAGACTTGAGGGGGATAGCTCAGAGCCAGTGGATTCTGAGCCATATCACTCTGGTATTGGAAGTTTGCTATATATTTCTCAATAGAGTAGACCAGATTAAGTTACTCTGTTAGAATCTTGAGTAGGGTTTGTAAGTAGTAGCCTGGAGGGGGGCTGACACAAGTTTTTGTTATTTGTAGTTATTGTTTTAAGAGGTCATCCTCAAGACCAGAGAAGCTGAAGTGCTTTGTACTGTATATAGTGACTGGTCCAACTTGCCTGACTGGGAGTCAGTGTCTAGTATGGCATTTCAGTTTGGCAATTCCTTGGTGTGGTACAAGTTCAGGGAGCAAACTGATTATTGCTGGTGTGTAACCAAATCTCTAGGGACTTGGGTGGCGCTGTGGGTTAAACCACAGAGCCTAGGACTTGCCGATCAGAAGGTCGGTGGTTCGAATCCCCATGACGGAGTGAGCTTCCGTTACTCGGTCCCTGCTCCTGCCAACCTAGCAGTTCAAAAGCACGTCAAAGTGCAAGTAGATAAATAGGTACCGCTCCGGCGGGAAGGTAAACGGCGTTTCCGTGCGCTGCTCTGGTTCACCAGAAGCAGCTTAGTTATGCTGGCCACATGACCCAGAAGCTGTACACTGGCTCCCTCGGCCAATAAAGCGAGATGAGCACCGCAACCCCAGCGTCGGCCACGACAGGGATTCGAACTGCCGACCTTCTGATCAGCAAGTCCTAGGCTCTGTGGTTTAACCCACAGCGCCGCCTGCTTTTCCTTAGGATATCCCTATTTTCATCGGGGAAATGTTGGAGGGTATGAAGTTATCCAATTCCCAAGCCATCTGAAGGCAGCCCTGTATAGTAAAGTTTTTTGGTTTTTTTTAATGTTTAATGTTTTATTATGTGTTATATAGGGACGCGGGTGGCGCTGTGCGTAAAACCTCAGCGCCTAGGACTTGCCGATCGTCAGGTCTGCAGTTCGAATCCCCGCGGCGGGGTGTGCTCCCGTCGTTCGGTCCCAGCGCCTGCCAACCTAGCAGTTCGAAAGCACCCCCGGGTGCAAGTAGATAAATAGGGACCGCTTACTAGCGGGAAGGTAAACGGCGTTTCCATGTGCTGCGCTGGCTCGCCAGATGCAGCTTGTCACGCTGGCCACATGACCCGGAAGTGTCTTTGGACAGCGCTGGCCCCCGGCCTCTTAAGTGAGATGGGCGCACAACCCTAGAGTCGGACACGACTGGCCCATACGGGCAGGGGTACCTTTACCTTTACCTATGT